CCACAACAATTACAACTCCTACAATCTTAACACAATAATGCTATGAATTAGTGAGAGCTAATGGCTGGAAGGTATAGTGGTTCCAGACTGCGAGATCTGTGCATTTTTAGAATAAAATAAAAGGTACAAACAGCACGCTTGCGGTAGACAATGATTACCTAGTAATTAGTTTACACAAAGCTTCCTATTTAATGGCAAAACGCTGTAATTAACGCGTGACAGAAAATCAAAGGGTACTTTGTAAGCATATGAAAAATTAACACTGCAGGCCTATAGCTTTATGTACTGATTAGAAGCATATTAAATCAATAGGACATACACACCAACAGCTTGCATATCTGATTATTCCCACTCTCAGGAATGGATGTCGTGGCTTCCATTTAAGCAAGGACTACAATTGTCAGGCTTTGGTTTGCTTAGGATTTAGGAATCACCCAAAACATCGCTTCGGCAGCTACACAGAGATACCAATAAACTGAGTAAGAAGAGCACTGCAGATAGTTTAAATATTCACTATCTGCAAACGATTTAGGATACACTGCTGACAGAGCACTATCCACAGCAGGAAGCAACCTGCAACTGTTAAGCTTCACCAACAATCAGGTCCTCCTTGAAGTCTTAGGGAATCTTTCTCTTTTACTACCAAGTATCATACTGGACAGAAGAAATTTTAAAAGCTTGTCAGAAATCTGCAAATGTACCTTCTGTGTTTCTGCCACAGATCCTGGCCCTCTTCAGGCTGGAAAAATCTGCACACCTACAACTGCGTGCAAACAAGGGCAGCACGGCAGAGCCTTATTTCAGAGCCCCTGTGCTCCACATGGTTCAAAACCAGTCCGAAATCAGGGTGCTGATGGTGCCGTGTTTCTGTGTCTCTTTGACAGTACTGTGGGTGGTTTTATTTTGAGCTGTCTATAAGCACGCTCTTTAGTCTGAATTCTTCCTTCAGTAAAGAAAGAGAATACGGTACCTAAGCTTCAGGTTTCCTACAATGAATGCAGCTCATTCAACCAGCTAAAAGCTTCTTCATCCTGATTTCCAGGCAACTGCAAAGTTTATCTAATTACTCATTACAGGGCATTTGGATGTTGACCAAAACCACTTAAATATAAAGAAAAACCCATAATTTCATAGCATTTTATCTTGGCCTTTGAAACTATAATTTTTCAGAAGCAATCCACATGCAATCCTGAAACCAGCATCTGAATTTCACTTCGTGCAACTCAGATCAGGAGTTGGATGCTCTGGATTTACTGCCTTTTGAAAAGATTTTGATTTTCTGTTATGCATCTTAGTGAATTAACCAAGATACGGTCTATAGGGAAAAGAAACCGTGACAAAATAGGGTGACACAAATGGAGACAACGAGATTTCAAACACTCGAACATTTAAAACAGGAGGCTGCCCAAGCACATTAAATAGCTTTTCCTCTTCTACAACAGATACTTAATGGAGACTTTTGAAATGGCTGCGTGGCTACGGCCAATTACAATGGCTCATTCAAGAGATATTTGTTGCCTGGTTTTGTGTTCTATTTTTGTACTTCAGCTCTTTTCCTCTTTATCCCCACGCATCTCTCCTTTTTTTTCGGCCTGATTTTACTTACCTTAGGGTTGCTGCTAGGTAAACTCACAACACGTTGCTGATCCTGGTGGTTAAATAAGAGATGCAGAGTAATAAAAGTTAATTCTGAAATTAATCTGACTATTGATCTAATCTTGTTGGAAGAACGGAAGAGGTGTTAACAGCAAGGCAGTGCCATCCTGCATCCAAAAGGCAGTGCAAGTGACTGAGGTTGAGTTAGGAGGCACTGCAGACTTCGACAGCCTGCTGTCTATTCCAAAACAAGACAAGCACCTCTAATAACACACGTTGTAAGTTATGAGGCTGTGTGAGGTCAGCTTAGCCTCCAACCTTACCTCTGCCAGCAGCCACAGGTGGGTGCCCAGGTAACGGCATGAAAGCAAAACAGCACACTCATTACCCATATACTCTCCCACCCCCACCATCCAACAACTCACAGTTCAGAACCCCCCTAAGCCAGGTACAGTCAGCAATTTTAATAACCAGTAGTTTTCTCTTCCAATAATTTATGCAGTCTCTCAGCAAGGATCCATATAAACATAGGTGAGATTTTCCCCAAATCCTGAAAAAATATTAACTTTAAATAAAATATTCCTGGCTTCGTAGTGTGCTTCGGAATACTGTCCTCTAGTGAGCATTAGGGCTATCTTCCTGTAGGTATTTCAAATGCCCTCATCCAGTTGTCCTAAATACCTTCTCTACTGCATTTCCATGTACACTATTAGTAGCAGAACCACTATTTCTGCTATGAATGGACTAACTGAAGCTTGAATTGGTACAGAAAATAGGTTGGAAAAACATGACATAATGGCATAAGAACATCTACTGCACAGATATCTTATATGCATTTATTAAACGGTTACAAAACTGATTTACCTCCTTCAATAATTATTCACATTGCAAGATACCCTCAAACAGATGAGGTTTCTCAGTACTTTCTGACCTTTTTTGGTTGTAACTGTGGTCAGATTCTGATTTTCACACTGACAATAACCTTTTGAAATGGCCCCCAACCGCCAAATGAGCGTACATGGTGACAGCAGTTCTCTTGATATTGAATACAGTTCAAATCTGGGCCTCAGGATGACATTTCTGATCAGCTGGCAGACTTAAGCCAGCCTTCAGAAGGATGAAGGCCTTACAGAGACATTCAGCATAGTTTGTGAGTTCTATTCCTAATGCAGCTGCAAAATAATTAATCGCTCGGATAACTCAGCTGCTGCAATACGTTAACAAGGTAAAATACATCAATAATCTTGGCCTGCATTTTTGCTTGCCCAGTGCTGTATTTGAAATGAGGAACCTAAAATCAGTCTCATTTTCAGATGGAATCGATTTTTATACAATTCAAACTCAAAAACTACATTATTTTTTAATACCTTGCCTACGACATACCAATGAGGAAAATTTGGGTATCGTGTCTTAAACTGCTATGCAAATGATGCTATTTGTAAGTATTAACATAATTTAGTGCTTACAGTCATATCCTCATTTCTAATAATTCTACCAGAACGGAGAGTCTTTTCACTGTACTCCTAGCCTGCAGGATAGTCTTTCATCAAAAAGCTGCATTTTTTAATAACCTGCCAGCATATGTTTTGCATGTGGCAGCCTATGCCGATGACACAATGTCTTCATTATCCAAAGAAGCAAGAGTACATACTGTAATGGGACGTTAAAGGATGCCTGTGCTCATAAACTAACGATTTGATGCTTAAACGTGTATCATTACAATGGCATTCCTTCACAAAGGATGATTTTAATCCTCTGCTCTCAACGGCAATACTCAGCGGAGACTGCAATTCATTATATACGAAAAAGGTCTCCCATTTTAGAAGAGAGGGCTAATCTCAGAAGGCAGAAACACTTGAACATACGTACTCAAAGAAGACACTGAAAATTGCAGCAAGTTTCACTCTGCCGAAGCTCACTTGAAAACTAGTCTGGATGGATGGAAGTTTTCCTGCTGACACTAGAAAATTAAATCAAATGCATCATCCCCTATATAGTTTCCAACATACGACAAATTATTATGTTTTAGGGCTTCTGAAGGACTGGCTCCCGGCTGCATCAAATCCTAACATAAACAGAGTATGAAAGAGAAAGCAGAGAAAGCTGACTATCACTACGCCCCTTTATTCGGAGTCACTTAGCCATGGAAGAATTAGGAACGCTAAGATAACTCTAAGGAATAATGCTTGCAAAGGGAATTCACATCCACAAAGAACTAGACGCGGTGAAACTGCATTTCATCACGTCTCCTCCCTCCAGTTCTGACGGTGGGAGCAGGATGAGGCCACGATCTGGTAGCTTCATGTTCCAGATTGCTCAGTGCCACACTGTTCTGCCACCAGGGCAGCTCTCCAGTGCTCTGCTTTGGATTGCCTGCCTTGTGCAGAGTGAGGGATCCTTAGGAGCAATTAGCGCTTCAGTTTTACATGATAAGCTCTGTTTTGTTATGCGGAATTATTCGGTAGCTGTCAAATGCAACAGAACTGTAAGCAGCCCAATTCGAAATTTTAATATACAATATAATTCAATCAAAAATTTCAAAACAGTTTTGATTGAATTAAAAAAAAAAAGATCAAGAGAGCTGTAATGAGTAGTTTATGTAAATTAAACAATTCTTTCTGTACACATTCCTTCTGGCTTTAAAACCATTACGTGAGGAATGAATCTGGCACTGCACACAGAAATATTAAATGCTTACTGAAATTAACATGCTTAAATACCAATGAATATTTAAAGTACAAATAGTTCTCCGAACCCCGGAACTAATGAACTCTAATTTCAGATCAATTTTTCTGTGGTTGAGATGCATCATCTTACAACCTCTCTCCAGCACGTGGATTCTTACCCATCTCACAGTTCATGAGTTCATGCTATACTGTTTCCCTCAGTGAAGTATTTACACACTCCCTCTCCTTACCTGAACGCCTGCTGGAACGAAGCATGCAGGAGCCTAATGTTCTCTGATACCTTGAGTGTTCTGTTTTATACAGATGAAAATTGCTAACAGGTTTAAAAGTTGTCAGTGAGGAAAGATGTGCAGAAGTAATAATTCTTAGCAAAACAGAATAAAAGTTACCACTTTGTGGTTTCAAAGCAACTAGTATTGTTCACCATATTAGTTCAATGCTTTTGTTCCAATAATTCCAATCTACCTATGTAGCTGTAAGGCTTCACCACCTATAGAAACTAAATGCTAAATACTGAACTCGTTCCACAGTTGGATTTCAAACATTTGCTTGTATTTGGGCTATATCTTTGCTTTAATTTGAATTACTGGTGCCTGCTAGTTCATACAATCTACTCTGAACTCTGCAACACCAGCTCTTACCTGTGTCTTAGACTACAGAGTTACGGTGAGGCTATTAAGAAGCCGGGACGCCAGTCAAGATTCCTTTCTTACTTACGTGTGCCCACTTCTCACTCCACGTCTCAGGGCTGTGCTTCTGACGTTCCTTTAGAACCCAGTGGTAGCACTCCAAATGCAAGATAATATCACAGAAGGCAGTGCCGTTTCCTCCGGATTCGTCATTCATTTTGAACAGCCAGCGCTGCACTTCCATGTTGTCCACAATCAGCTGGCTGAGAGCACTGATCAGCTGTGGAGCACACAACCACACAAAGAGCTTTTGTACTGTGACAATGTCAACTGGTCCTTGCTTTCGACTCCCTGTTCCCAAACATTTGGAAATGTATTTCCCAACTATGGTTTCTGTTTCTTAGAGCTACTCAGATTGCTGTTATTTCAGATACTTAGCAAAAGCTGAATTCTTTGATTAAGAATTTATGGTCTTCATGCTGTATTGAGCCCACTTGGGCAGAGCACCTGCCAGCAACAGAGCACCTCCTGTAGTTCGTGGAGAGAGGTATTCTGCAGAGAGATCTGCCTGTCCAGGCTGTTTTGTCACATCAGAATCTCAAGAAATGTCTCTGGCAGGGCATAGCATGGAGCGGGCTGCACTGTCTGCAGAATCACTGAAACAGTTGTGCCAGATTCCAACACCAGCCGAACATCTGTGAAATCTTCCTGCTGGAGAGTTCATTATATGGCTATAAATATATGAAGCAGCTACCAGGCGGGCTTTATTAAAATGCTAATTATTTATTTGTATATATACACAGATCTAAATGGCTTTAAAGTGCCTTCTGCCCAGCTGGTGTAGGACGCGAGTAGCTCCTTTGAAATGGCAGATGCCTTTGAACCCAGTAAAAGTATCACCAGATCTTTTTCATTGGCTAGAAGGTATTTTTCATAGCAATTTTGGGGACTTCTGTTGTATGTTTGGGTTTTGGGTTTTTTTTTGTTGGTTGGCTTTCAGTAACCTCGCATACAATTACATGTGTGTTTCAGGTGCCATTATTTGTGGCTTTTGAGAATCCCGTAAATGTGTTTTTCTTGATGACTCCCCTACAGTAATGAAAAGGATCAATAACACTGTAAGGACTGTAGCAATCATAAAGAATTATGTGCTATCTTTAAGTGAAAATTGAATTCTGTTTTAACATAGTGTCACCTCGCTTTGATTATTTAACCTAAAATATCAATATTTCATACAAGCAAACAGCTGCAGAACTTCCATAACACCGTGCTATGAATCAAAAGTATCAGATTCATGTAAGTTAGTTATTTAACAATAAATCAAACAGTTGTTTTACAGATCATTGATCATATATTTATTTCATCTACGATACAAGCTGCGATGTATTTGAGTAGCTTACGCTGTTTTCAGAGTTAAAGGTGATTAATAAAAAGCAAAGGAATGTGAAAAACCTCTCGAAGCGGTAAGAATATCTGCTGATTATTTCCATGGGTTCTATCAACACAACAAAAACGTTTTAAATAGAATCATTGCAAATCATACCTAAATACATAATTACTAATCACGAATGTTCGGTGCCAACAGAGCACACTGCAGAAAACTCTCGTGCTTTGTGATTTTAGTTTGCGTTTTGTTCTCTTTCTTGTTGTGCTGGCAGATATGGACAGTTGAACCTATCAACGTTAACTTCAGCTGCAGATATGCTCAGTACAACCCAAATTGAATGGGCTGACTTCTTAAGTGGAAGAAATTTTCCCTTCATCAAATACTTAGTTTTCCAGAAGCCTCCATTCTATTTTCAGTCACTGGTAAAACTCCTATTAATTTCATTAGGGCCACGACTTCACCCACGGAGCAGCAACACAAGCTGTTTGAAACAACCGAACCAAAAGGCCTTATGTATTCTCAAGAAAGAACGTGTAGATATCAGAACAATTGTACTGCTTCCCGACTAGGATGTGAATTGCATTTACTTGGTTAGATACGGCCAAAAAGAGCCCAATCTCATACACGATTTAATCAAACCTACTTAGGCTCTAATCAATACAGTCATGGCAATTGTAAAAAGCTTGCCTCCTATCAAGTGAAAATAGGCACCTGCACGTTGACACAACCCAGAGCACGTCCTGCTTACCTGTTCGTGGCTGTAGATGTCAGATTCTCCGGGAGGGGTTGGCACACGAGCACTGGCAAAAATTCGTTTACTTCCAGACTTGGTACTATAGAGATGAGCCACTTCTGGCACTGAGCCCAGTATGGGCACATTTAACATGTCAGCCACTGCTAGATCATCTTTGTGGGGAACCCCTCCGATAATGTAGGCGTCTCTGCTCTGGATAAGGATCTTTATTCTTTGGATCGTCTTGGGACTGTACTTCAGCTGAGTGGCTAGGCACATGTGATGCTTCTGTATGAAGATAACATTATTCTTGTTAAAAGGTGTTCTTTTCGATTCCATGGACCTAATTTATAACGTTACACACAATAAATACATTATTAATAGCAGGCTGGGTTATGACCTATCCTGTAGCTTAGCAGTTTAAATTGATAAAAGCTGTTGGGGTGAGGCTCCATAATCGTGCACATCTTTAGTGTGTTGGAAATGGGCTCACTGGGAATAGAACTAATTACTACACATCTGTATTTATTTGATCCATGCGGAATTATCCTTCTGTCAGTCGGCAGAGAGGCTGGTGGCCTTTGGATAATAGTGATTCATCTCAGCAACACTGCTGGCATCGTTTAACTCTAAAGCGCCTAAAAATCAATACAAAAATGAAGAAAAACCCCGATAGCAGAGAACGTATTTCACCATACAGTTCTGCCGTATGTTAAGCAATTCTCTGAGAATAAAACATTTTGATTTACTAAAGCTTTCACTGATCACATTAAATTACTGAGGATATACGTTCCCATTATACAGTAGTTCTGATAGCTACTGTAAATGCAACTGCAGCACGCTCAAAGTGAGAGGAGTATTTTTTGTTGCTTAAAGGCACAAGAGCTTCAACTTTTGGGGAGGAATTAAAAACAAAAACAAAACAAAAAACAAACAACAACAAAACAAAACAAAACTTTTTTACATTGACATTTTACCTAAATGAGGCCCTTGTCAGGAAAGCATTCCTTGTCAGAACAGCCTTGCAAGGGATTGCCAGGCCTGAGAAACCGAGTTTATGTTCTTTCAAAGACCCAGCTGTTCTTTTACATGGACTTAAGAAGAAATACTGATTGCACTACTTGGGTGGGGTGATGGTGGGAAAGGAGACAGGGGAGCCCTTGGAAATGCACAAGAGGAAAGCTCTTTTGCCAATTGCCCAGCACTTTCTTGTACCAAACACACAGCTCCAAGAAATGCCCAAGCCCGTCTGTAAAGGCGCCAGACCAACTGGGACGTATCTCCAGCTCAGAGAAATGAGAGACTTTCCAAAACTCCAGTAAGAAAAGGGGAGTCACAAGTCTGAGGGCAAGGAGAGAGACCCTTAATGCTCTGATTCAGCTTCTTTTCTCTCAAGCACCGTCACAAAAGCGTGGAGATGGCCCTTTCTGGCGGCCTCGTGGCAGTTCTGCCGCACGGAGAACAGGATCGATAGCCATCCTCAGTCACTCGCTCCCTGGGGCACAAGCAGTGATGTAGGGACGAGATTTGCTTTGTGTCTCTCAATAATGGATTTTACAGTTAATTAAGGAGTGCAGGGAACAGGCTGTAAAACCTAGTTCATTTCTGTTTTGAGAGCAGTATGGCTGCTATGATACATGGCGGAGTGAGCAAAAGCAGGTAAAAGCAGGAGAGCTGAGTAATGCCCAGAATTCCAGCACAGTGCTGCATGGAATAACGGTTAGTGGGTTAAACAAAACATGGCTCTTGGTTCTCAAGCCAAGAGGTTTGTTTCAAACTTCTCAAGCTCCGAGAAGCTGAACTTGGCGTCAGCTTCACCAAGAGAGCAAAACCACCACCCCCCCTTTTGAATTTGCTGCTAGCTGAGAAGCAGCAGAGCGTATCACTGCTCCTGGCTGCACAGAGCCCCATGAGATCAGTCTAATGGCTAGCATCTGCCCAAGGATGCAGGTGTAGGGACAGCCCTTTCTCCCAGTCTCCTTCTTGAAGATGCCAAGGTCATTGAGACCAGTGGGTGACTAGCAGCAGTTACAAGTACAGATTCTTCCACACATAAGAGATACACGTCTAGGACACATTAGGCAATGGATGGAAATAAAAATACTCTTGGTGAAAATAAGGTAGTTTGAGGGTTTTGCACATAAAGAGGTGTACTACACTGAACAGCCATAGGTACAGCTCAACCTGCTTCTGCCCGTTGTTATTGATGGCACTAATTTACTTCTCAGCATTCAGTAACTGGGCGAGGAGCACAATCTGTACCTGTGAAAGAACCACACAGCCCTTGAAATAAGGCTAGCTCCCTGTGTCAAAGCGTGTAAACATTTCCCAGCAAATCACAGCTGCGTAACAACAGAGTTGTTTGCTCTTCATCTGGAAAATAAGTTTGTTTGGGATATTTCAGCAGAAATTTGGAGCAGTGATAGCTATACAAAAGAGATGCATGCTTGAAAATGATCTGCTTTTACATTGGAACTGCTTCAACCTAATCACCGTGACCAAAATTGGTCATTACACTCATTTTTCATTCCTGTCAGCACAAACGTGTTGAGCAGCACCTTGTTTGTCCATAATATGATGTGCTTTAGATGATACTTTTAGCATGTTTCACACTGAGGGCTCTTTTAAAGTTTCCAACATTTTGTAACTCGTACTGGAAAAATAGCCCAGAGCGGGGGAGAAATGACAGTACAATAATCAAAGTGCAATTGAAAGGGAACAAAATATACCACTGGTATTTATCAAGGATTTACCATCCAAACAATATTATTTTGAAGGTGAAGGGTCAAATTCTGGCCCAGCGCATTACAGATTGCAGATTACAGCAGCGTTCAGACAACAGGTGAGTACTAAAGGAAAGCCCAGCTCCTTAGAACACAAATAGCAACTTGATGCTTTCCTCCAGCTTCAGAGAAAACAAAACACAGTCGTACCTACAGAACTCCCTTTAACTGCTGCCAAACCAGCCAGCAGCTCTGACTCAACGCCCCTCTGTTACACCATGAAAGTAACAAGCACTTTTTACAGGGTGGTTTCAAACTACTTCGACAGCAGTTGGTTCAGACATACAAGTGTTATGCTACTACAGAAATGCAACGGAAAAGCTAACGCATTTACTGCATAGAAAAAGCTGATTTATGTTCAGATTAATCTCAATCTAAATATGGTACAATCAATATTTGTTCAACAAAATAACTAGAAAAGGGTTGTTAATATGTATATATATTGAAACCTGAATCAGGACTTCGAGCACAGATATGAGAGAGATACACGTATCAGAATTTTATAGATATCAAATGTTAGCAAAGCTCCTGTATAATTAATATTTACAATGTAAAATTCCGTTCCGCTGTAGCAGAGGATCACTGCACTGCAGTGCCATCAGAAGTGCTGTAGCACGCAATAGCTAGGTCTGCTTTTTTTTACCATGGCCCAGCACATGAATTTAAAACTGCCTTGCCAGGTTTGAAAGTAATATCTGTATTATCTGAACAATTCTAAGTCCCGTTCTTTCCAAAGTTCTAAACTGGATTTAATTGCAAGAAACGTGACTAGCACATGAATGATTGGATGCCGGGCAACCCAGGAATAAAGTTTGAGTAATAAGAATGGTTTATTGCTCTGATCTGCTTACAGATATAAATCTATCAAGTTCACAGTCCCAAGCATATGGTACGAATGGACAGCGGCCTGCAAATAGCAGATACAGGACGACCTCAACTGAGTCTATAAACTAAACCGGGATATTTATTTCCAGTGCTCTAACTAGTAGTCTAATCAGTAAAGCCCTTAAACTTGCAATGATATTTCACTGATGTGCACCAGAGCGTTACGAGTTATAAAATTTCCAATTTAATTTTACTGCATCCCTCAAGCTGTAGTAATTAGAAGACAAACTCACAGGGAAGCTGTTTATAGCTTCAGGGGTGAGAATTTTGAACCTGTCCTGCAGGTCACTCATGTCCTCAGGGTTCCCAGATCTAACAGCTGCCTGCAGACCCAGGAGTTTATTGTAATACTGCAGTAACTCCTCACTCAGATGAAGGGGGCAGATGTAGATGACGTCCACGTTGGCATCTAAAACAAAGGGGCACAGCGCTCATTACTGGGAGAAAGGTAGACTCTATTCAGAACGGCAATCTGACGATTCCCGATCGTTTGCTAACAAACAGCCTCGCTAAAAAAGCGCTGAAAATAAACCCGAGATTTTTAATTCCCCAATCTTAGCAGTTTAACTGCTTTTTCTGTGCTTCAGCATTTCTCTGAAGACAGGTCAGCAACCCAAAGAAATAGCTGGTTTCCAGAATTCAATCTGCAGAACATATTGGGGGCAGAATTTTGAAAGAGTGGCAGGGGATTTATCTGCACAACTCACATTAACATCAATGGGAATTGTGCGCCGCTTTAAAAATATATCCCATTAACTTCAGTAAATTATAAAACCCAGCTATTAAGTTTAGAAAGCTGATGAAATCACAATTTCATACGCACGGCCTGTTCCTTTTCTTGTCCCGTCCACACAAAAGCTCACGGTAGGATACCATTAATAACTATTGCTGAGCATGTGAGTGTGTTGATTAGCTAGTTAAATACCACAGTGCAAAAATCTGCTTTTTTGCATGTGAAACAACTTCATCTGAAAGACACCGAACACACAGATATTCAGGGGTGAGAAAGAGACAGCCGTGCACATATGCCACTGGGGAGGAAAATTTTAACTACTAGGCTCTTCTAAAATATTAATAGGTGACTTAATGGATTAATTGCCTTGCAAAATTAATAGAATTTACTGCCAAAAAACACTCCTAGATTTTGATCCAACTCCTGCTGAAATCAGTAGGAAGTCTTTCATTGTCTTTGCTGGGCACAGAAACAAGAGCCCTGACAGTGCCAGGGACAACTGCCACCGCGTGGGACCAAACCAGAAGCAGTGCAAGCATTGGAGCAAGCAAACTCCCACCCTTGCATTGTAAATGAACATGGTACCCACTTTTTCACTTTGAATTTGGTGAATAACACGCTGCAACACATTTTACTACTCTTTGTGATGCCCTATAGATATCCAAGTCTGCCTTGGATGTAGTAGGGCTCCAGAGACAGGTTAGCTAACAGAGGTCACACCGAGCAGAGATCCTCTGTATTGTAAAGAAAAAACAATACCGTAAGTGTCAATGCTCTTTTGCTAGACACAGGGAAAGCACTGAGATAGTTAATAATTTACTTAATAATTAGCTAGCTTGCATCTTACTCGTGGTCTGTCTTACATTTTACAGTGGAAGCAATTTTCCTGTTTGCAGATTTTTAGTGAAGACAGCCTGCATAGCACGTTTAGTTTGTACCTTTAAGTTACTAATTATCACTTTAGAGGAAAAAAAAAACCAAAACCTATGTTAAAAAATTGAAAAAATAAAACTGTACTGTGGAAAAACAATATTAGTGTCTAGATAATATATAAAAGCAATTACATTATTATTTTAGGCAACTGTAAATTTCTGGATCTAATATATTTTTGTTACAAACTTATTAAATGGCATTTATAAAATAATAATGATACTGAAATATATATGAATCAAGTAAAGTATGTCATTCCAGGGAGCCAATGGAGTTGGTCATTGACAAATAACATTCTACATTTGCTTTGCTTAAGAGAGGACCGTCGTTCTAGGGAAAAACTTTTAATGTATGTCTCTTGCCTCATTTGCTAATTAAAAAAAAATTGGTTTAAATAAGATCTTGCTCTTCTTCAGCACATCTTTCTCTCCATATGAGCCTGAATGAACTCTAGCAGGATTAGCTACCTAATTCTGTAGGACACTGAGCACTTTTGATTGTTTGTGGTGCTCAGCACGCCTTGTAGGATGAGGTTGCTTTACCTTGTCACAGTCAGAAAAGTCACTGTGGTGTTCTTACGAATAACTTGGACAGGAGCAAACAGCACAGTCGCTTCTGAGCTTGTACGTTCTCTATAGTTAGCATTAATACCAAAGGAAATTCCGCACCCGACATTCTTGTGCTCACACGTAGGGGCAGATAATGGCAGCTCAGCCAGCCAACAGCTCGTAACGTACCCAGGATGTCGCACAGCCTTCCCAGCTGCAAGTTCTGTCGAAGAGCAAGATCTGGAATACGTTCACGGATGTACTGGGAATATCCTGGAAAACAAGTACAAAGTCACCCCCACTGGAATGTTAAAAAAACACACACACACAAAAAAAAAGCCTGACGTTTATTTAGGAGAAATCAGCCACTTTAGATTTATATTTTAAAATCCATCAGTATTTCAAATCCTAAACACGGTACTGCATAAATTACATCGTGGTTGGACTGGATCACCTTGGAGGGTTTTTTCAACCTTGGTGATTCCATGGTTCCACAGTGTAACATCATGTTTTTGTGTGATGAGATTTGAAGTGAATGGCTAAACGCTGCAGACCTATACAGCTTTATCATTTCAACCTGCAGCCACTTCTGAGTATTTTGCTCAAGTCTTCTGTGCTGTTGGATTGTTTTTTAAATGCTGAAAACAAAAAAATGACACCATCATTAAGCAAGAATCCTGCTAGAGCCTAAGCTTTGTACTTCACACAGATAAAAGGCAACAAAAACACTTCATTACCGAGGTGTCTCACTGGTACCTGATCACTTTGTTGCAGAGCAAGAATGAGTGGCAGCCTGTCTGAGCCAGGATTACTTATCTGGAGGTCAGACTTCCAACTGATTGCATATTTGCATTCAAAAGGACTGCTGCAAATGACATGGCCACTGTGACTACCATCTCTAATCCTGTAATTTAAAAATTAAGTTGAGTCTAAACGAAGCAGCGTGTTCATACAAACACAGAGCCACGCAATACGAGATGCTGGCTGGAATAGCTGTGATTAAATCAATAAGGGCGTTCAGCTCAATGCTCAGTATTTGCCTGATCCTTTAACAACACCCTTACAACACTGCTACTATCTGCTCACCATCAGTCCAGAAAAGCTTCGCTGGAGAAAAATTTGCCAAATATTTCCTTGCTTTCACTCTGGAAGATGGTAATGCTGTTTTTGACTGCAAGGACAATTAATGTAAGTAATGGACCTTCTAGAGTGAGGTGGCAATGCTGCTTTGCACAAAGCATCAGAGCATCTTGGCACCCCACCAGGGGAGGGTCAGCCTCGCCAAGCACGAACCACGAATTTTCATTTCTCAGTTTAGTGCCACCAAAAGGACGAGGAGGGCCTTCCTCCCCTGCGTGAGTTTTACGATAGCGTATGTGCAACGATTTCAGCGACTGCTCCCAATTTACACAGGGCTAAGCTGTAGGGAGAGTTATAGAAGTACTAAAAGAACGGGTGTAGGAATTAAGGGCAAGGGGCCTGCTGTCACCTCCCCTTCCAGCCCCAGCCATGACCTCATGCCCATAACTGCCATTTTCTTGATAAATCTCGCTTGTCTCTGAGTGCCTTTCTTAGCAAAGGATCCACAACACTTTTCAAACTCCACCTTTGAAAAGAGAAGGAGCAGCACGGAGGAGGGGACAATTGGAGGCACCACAGGGAGATGGCTGAAGGGGAAGGAGGAAAAGGAGAGACCCAGGGCTCAGCCCCATGTGCTTCCAAGAGCCTGGGACAGGTGCAATAAATAGCATTTAACTTCCCTCCCTACACTCAGGGCACCTGCTGCTCAGCTGAAACCACTTAAAAAAGCACTATTCCTGGGTCACAAAGCTCTGCTGCATGTACTGCAGGCTGCACAAGGTGCTGCTATTTGGGTAGAAAAACCCATCAATCATTTACAAATAGTTAAAAGAGAAAAAATATTTGAATCCCAAATATTGCAGAGGTGTATTCATCTGTTAGAGTGTGGGAGTAAAGCTGATTAGAAGCCTGCAGCTCATTTTTCATCATGCTACTGACAAGAGTGCTAACCAATCTTTACACAAGGAAATTGATATTCTGTTTTCAGCTGTACTCAAGTCAGAAGTTTTTGTTTTGGCTAAATAAATGGAAACATTTGTTCCTCACAGCAGTATAATTTAAGCTCTTTGCTGTCCCTGCTCCTGGATTACTTCCAGAAATGGAAGTCTGAAAGTGTTCTTAAAATGAAAACTGCTGAGAAATTCAGTTAGGATTCTATCAGTGTCTATTGGAATTCCACTTGCAGGAAAGACCAGATTCTAACTTGACCCAAACGCCAAAATTGGGGAGGTGTGTGTAGAGTTTGGGGCTCTTCTTGGCCTACCAGGCTGAGGACAGAAACCATCAACAGCATTTGGTCAAAATGCCTCTTGGTGTCTGTCTGCACCTCAGACACCATTTTGTGATTGTTCAGATTCAGCATTAGAAACCAAATGAAACAACAGAGAAAGCCCTGCTGAAGTCAGCTGCCATTCAGTCCTGAGCTGAACAGACGTTACTTGTTCCAATTGCCCAGCTTCCCAGCAGCCTACCCAGGCAGCCTTAGTGGGACTGCAAAGAAAAGAATGGCTGCTGAGGTGTTTGGCACTTCTGTTCCCAAACAAACATGACAAGATACGGCTGAGCAAAAACATCACTGGAAAACAGTAGAAAACAAATGACAATGCTGATAGCTGGGCTCAAAATGTTACAGATTTTGCAGAAACGACCAATGTCTCAATTAATTCAGCGTAAAGAAGCACGAATCAAACAAACTTTTCAAACAACATCTTCAGATCCCTCCACTGGACATCCCAGTGTTTCCACGCTTTCCTTAAAGAGGTTTCCTAATTCTCTAAGAAAACATCTGCATTCTGTTACCTTTGCTGCTGAGTTTCTCCTGAAGGGGAAAGTTCCACTTGTGCCCTACTGCAGCAACTGCAGCACGGAGCGACGATGGAGTCATGGCTGAGCTGAAAGGACTGAGCTTTACCCACACCCTAGAACTTACTTAAGAGGTTGAAATAATCTCAAAGCTTTCTTAATCCCACTGGCTGATGCAGTTTGGTGTAACGTGGACACTCTGATTCACGTTTCAGCTTAACCTGTTTTGATTACACTGAGATTCTTTTCATATAACTTTGACAGCATCTGCTGTGCAACAGCTCTGCTACTTCTGAATTCAGGCTCCTAAATTAATAATTGCTTTTTCCTGTATTAATGCACTCCTTCATGTTTTTACCCAGCTCAGGGCACTGGAATACACAAATTAATTTTAAATGGTCCCGCTCTGAGAAAGGACCCATACCCTGGCATATTCACATGAGACTTTAAGATGAAGGTGTAATTAAAGACAATTGTTCATCAAATGTATATTTACGTTAAACACAGTCAGCAGAATCATCGAATTAAAGGCTACCTGGGCTCCAAAAACTGAGAGCTTAACACTTACTTACAGCCTGCATTAATTCAAGCCGTAACCAATTCACTTTACGAAATCCTGAATCTCTCAGGTCAATTAGTTTGCAATGTAAATACAAACTATAAATCAAATTACAAGCATTTCGACACGATTCCGTGTTTTAAGAGATTATCGGTGCATTTTAGAAATTCCCAAGAAACCACATTCTTTGATTTCTAAACACCTACACTTTGCCATTGCTTAGCAGAAAACAGCTTTTAAGCTCCCCAATTCATAAATGTAATTAAATAATTACATTAGTGCTAATTAACATGAAACTGCAGATTATTTAAGCGCAAAAAACACTATTCAACTTCTTAATTATTCTTGTTCACACAGCATTTCCTTTTGCTCAGGCGCCCTAGGTGCAAATAAAGCATCCCATCTGCTCGTAATTAGAACTAAATAATTTCAGAGAATGTAGCTTATCATTTTGACTGCACATTTGATTAAAAACAGTGTACAAGCAATATCCTGGCTTATTGCTGCAACAGCAACAACACGCACAGGCCCGTGTTTTCCTATCATTAAAGGAGACTGGAAACATTATCTGTTATTTCAGGGGGAAAAATACAACTTTTTAGTTCATTTCATACAGATGAAAGCAAATTACAGCAAATCACCTCTCCGCTGAATAGAGGCCCCCACATAATGACTTTATTTGCTTAATCCCCAAATTAAACGCCGTTTCGAGCGAAGGCCCTGTGTTATTACTCTCATCATGTCGAGAACATTTTCCTGCCGAGACCAATTTGAATAAAACAAGGGGCCTTCCTTGAACTCAATCAAGGAGTCATAATGTGGTGGGTAATAGAGGTTGCTGATAGATTTGCAGGCAAAAGTGTTATACCTAATGATGGGATATGGATAATAGTCCTCCTGGAGGTCCTGATGCGATTCCAGTTGGCTGCCAGATGCTAAAAATCAAGAAGAGCATTGATCAGTGACAGGAAGCTGTAGTGGATTCATCTAGTCAAACTTCAGCTGTTTTTCCACTGTACAGTTAAGCCAGGCATAAATTATATTAATTGATTTAATTACATACTTAAAACATCTTCCCCAATTAATTTAATTAGGTGGCTACATGAAGCTACTGGCAGGGGAAGATTAGAGGCTGCTCACTTAATTAACAGAATATGAATGAAAAAAAAAAAGAAAGCAAACATAAATGAAATTGTGAGCACTAATTAAGAGGCTGTCTGCAAACTTAAATACTTTCTGACAAAGTGGTGACAGGAATGTAGACGAGAGAGGGATTTTTTTTCAGCAAATTAAGTGCCACAAGGTATATATAGGGAGCTAAGGTAATGCAGTTAAAACATTGATTTTCTGACAGAACCACTGAAGTCAAAGCGAAGGGACATTTCCAACAGAAACACCGCAACAGATTTTACAGCCACAAAGGCTGAATCGCTGATGAAGGATGAAATATGATGCTCGGACAAGTGTATGGTTAAAGGGGAAAAAAATGGAAGCAGCTTATTGCGATCACTGAAGCAAGAGATGTTTAGAAAAGAAGAGCTGCCGTAACAGCTGGTAGCACCGCGCACCTTGGCCCTGATGTAAAAATTCTCCAGGTGTCTCTGACGTGATTCCTTCAGGGTCTTCTTCACACGTGCCATGTGATTGTGCAGGAGCCAAGAGATGGCAATCACACCTGATGCCCACTGCTGCCGCCTGAATCGGGCGTAGGCTCTCCTGGCCTGGAAGCGTCTCCACGTTGCCTGGATCTTTATAGCCGCCATTTCAGTACCCCCTTGGCCTTTGTATCTTTGGCCAGGTCGATTTAAAACCTTTTCCACAGCCGATCGATTCTTTATCACTGACAGTATGTCACTTTTGGTGGGATTCTCGTTAAGCGCAAAGTCCGATGCCGCTTCCACCAACTTCTGACAGCTGACTGTAGCCAATGGTACGGCGTAGTCCTTGAGAAGCTTCTCTGTGCGTTCCAAAAAATAGACAATGCTCCCCCAGGACAAACAGTGACGTTGTTTGAATGCCAGAAAGCCTGGAGCAGTCTGGTCTATAGCGCCGTGGCAAACAGCAATGCTGCAGTCAGGAGATGGATCCTGTAAGGGGAGACGTGGGAGGCATTTGAGGGAGCTGCACAAAGAGAACAGCCGCAGATGGAGAGCAACTGCCATCGAGTGCAAACGTGTGGCTGCCTCGTACAACTGCACTACCACTTATCATTGGACTGGGGGAATCTGCATCTGAAATAACACTCCTTACATTGATTTATACATCACAGCCACAAAGTTTATCCCCTATCTGCTGTAAAAACCACCGTCCCTCCAAGACCTCAAGTGTCACGAAAGGGTATCAGCATTTTTATTGAAATACATTAATTGCAAATGGGAACCACGCTTCATTTATCAAATATAAAAACGAAGCTCTGCAGCACGTTACTGGACTACATCAGATGGTAATTGCAGTAGCAATTCTCAACAGTAAATCAGGTTACCTCCACTTATCTCAGGAGAATGGATAATATTCCAGCCTATCAATTCAGCCAGGGTAAAACTTGAGACAGAGATGTTCTTGCATCTTAACTGTATTTTAACATCAGAACTGTATTTTATGGCATCTTCAGCCAGAAACTCATTAGTTGAGATTTTCAATCTAATGCACTATTTGCAATCTATTTTTAGAGATTATTTTTTTTATTTACATTAAGAACATTAACTTGCATTTCTCAAGTTTGCTTGCAAATAAAGATCTCCTTAATAGAAGAAATGTCAAAAGTGCCAGAGAGCGTGCTATGCAACACAATCACTAGGCTTAAAAAGATAAAATGAAAAAAAAAGAAAGAAAATCGTTTCTTTTGCGTGGGGATCAAGAACAGCCAGCAAACATTAAGCAGTCAAGGTCAAACTCCCCTATAGTTTCCTGTAAATATAAAGAGTAACACTACATTTGCTTAACTGCAGTGAGGTAGATTTAGAAGAGACATTAAAAAACTCTTTTATAACAGTAAAGATAGTTAGTTAAGCACTGGAACAGATGGCCTAGGGAGACTGTGGAGCTGCTATCACCGGAAGTTTTCAGAACAGGTTAGGAGAACATCTGTCTGCAGTGTTAAAGCATAGGTAACTCTGCCTGGAGCTCCAGGTAACCTCGTAAGATCTTTTCTAGGCTGATCTTCTAAATTTCAATAAACACACAGACAAATCCAAGAAAGTAGAAACTGGCAACATTTCCTACTCACTTCAGTATCTGTTATTGACTGGGTTTGGTTCAAACCCTCCTGTTCTAATTGAGCAACTTACAGTCACTTCCTAAACCATCTCTGCTGAAGACAGTGTCACAACCACGGATAAAGAATTCATGTACCTCACTGTCTCAATACCTGTGTCTGTGCAGCCTGCAGCTCACATTGAAGCTGTTGAGCCGGGTATGCGTGCGCTGGCTTTGATTTTCTGGTCGAATCCAGGGAGCTGCTGGGAAGCAGTGATGCAGTATTACCTCTGCTAGAGGAGTAAGAGCCGCCGGTTGCTTCCTTTGAGCTTGGAAAGGTGGAAGTGTCTGTACTCACAGGTTCCACCTTACTACTAATCTGTCCTGTACCAAATAAATAAATTATCATGGGTTTCATTGCTAAATAAGTGCAACAACAGCATCAAATTGGTATTCCACCATTAGGTACTGGCATGCTCCAGTTTGCTCTCACATCCAAGTGGTTTGCAGTATTCAGGACATACCACCAAAACCCATTTAGGAATGTCACTGGCTAGCCTTAAGCTTAACCATGCTAAAGCAAATTTTGGTAATTACAAAAATTGAGATCATATTAAGGAAAACGTATCACAGTTTTAATTCAAAAGAGCTGCTAATATGCCAGTAATGCAGTATACCAGGAGCGTAACGTCAAATAGTAGCACTTACAATCCATGTTACTCCACATGGAATTTTAGTTTTTCAACTACTCCTTTTCACTAGGAGAACTTCTGACTTTATAGGGATGGCTTCTAAGCCCACTCTTCATTTTGTTCATGCTCATTTTCTTATCACTGATAGGTTTGTCATATGCAACAAGCAGCCGTGGCAACAACAGTTCAGAGGACGCAGGTCAGAATTCCATCACCCAGAGCATGGTATGAGGAGCCATTCTGACAAAACAGAGACTTGGTCAGATGCTGTAAGGCATGTTTACAGTGATTTACAGTATTGCTGGCTTTAGCTCTGATGGTCAGATCTTGGATTCGGGTGCTTAGAATTTGAAACAGGAACGTAAGATTTTCAGAAATGAGCAGGGGCCAAACCTTCACAGGGCTTAAGAAATCTGATTCCCATTCAATTGAAAGACACAGGATGCTCTGTGCATCTTTATGCAAATGGTATTTTTAAGAATTTGACTGAGAGCTCATTAGACAGCTGCTTCCTCCAGAGACAAAACAAGGGCCTGAACACAAAGTTGGAGATGCAACTGCTGGTTGTCATCAATCATCTGTACTCACCTACAGCTGACTTCTTGCGCTGCCTGTGCAATTCATGGAGAGGAGCTGCTTTGGATACAACAGGTGTCTGGAGACTTATCTTTGCTGCTGGAGGGATAAGCCTGCGTTCCCTTAGGCTCAGAATATCTACAAGAAGATGACATCACTGAGCTATTTGTACACATTTCAGTTATGAAAGAAAAAAATAGAAACCATAAAGAATTAAACAATAGCGCAGCCAAGTTCTTTCAATTCCAAATCAAAACTACAAAAGCCGTTAGGTTATTTTTTAATAAGGACATTCAAGGAATGTAAGCTCTGCCTATGAGAGTTGACAAAGACATGAAACACATTTCAGTGCTGATTCTGAGAGTTATGTGCTTGTACAATGGCAATTTAATACACAGAATGGATGAGAATTAACTTTTATAAGCCACAGTGTAATTACGGCTGTGGACTGATTACTAAAACATCCAAGTGCAAGTCTACTTAAAATTGAATGACTAATAACCAGACATTAATCATTACTGTTTATCTTGACCATTTCATTTTGTTACAGAAGAATCCTCCATCACGTACAGCTCTTTCTATCAGCAACGCAGCTGACTTACAACGTAAGAATCAGGAAGGCTGATGCTCCACACAACGTGTGCTGCGTGCTAAGTTCAACACACAGAGCGAGCAGCCTGAAGTTAATCTCTACCCTCTGCAATGTTTGAGAAAAAATTCTTCCAAGATGAGAGGTGCCAGAAAATGTGATTGCCAGACAGCTGCTGCAAACAGCAAACCTTGTGGCTTATGTGGCATACAGCTGTGCCTGGCAGCAGTGCCCAGGTGCAATTCTGTGACTCACCTTTCTTCATATCTTCTTCTAACAGGGGTAAGGCAGAGTCCACACGAGGAGAGGCAGGCAAAACCCAAAGCTGGCTGCTGCTTTGACCCTTCACTCCCTTCTGACTACACGTCTGGCAAGACACAGAATCTTTTTTCAGCAAAGAGAAGTCCTGGATTTGCAGAGACATTTTTCTACTCAATAATAAATACAATTTCTGCTATAAATATGATCTAATAATGTAACAGTGCAAACATTGCTTTTACTTCCTATGCTACAGTAATGTTTTCTGTTGTTACCTTAGTAATTTAAATTAAGTTTATTAAATCCAGTTGCTGTCTTGTGATTTCTGCTATGCAAAAATCAGTGTATAAGGGTTCAAAACGGAGTCACAAGAAGCTTTCTCAGTTTTAATGAGTGCATTGTGCTTCCTGGTAGAACAGTCTTTGCAATACAAAATGCATTCACCAATATGACACCAGAAAGAAAAGGAAGTACTTGAAAATACGGAAAGAAATTTGTACTGGGATGAATACTAACGGAATTCAAATAGGTGAAACTATCCAGAAAGCAGGAAACAAGAAGTATCTCAGAGTTCTGAAGTTTCAAGGTTCTTTAACTGCAGCAGGGAATGACACAGCCTAATAGTGTGATGTGGAAACATGCGCCATGCTGGCTGTGCTAACGTGGGAATTAAAGCTCCCTTGCTTCCCCAAACAACCTGTGCACGCCAGCAGAAATGGAACCTGCTGGTTCTAGGTGCCAGGATATCGAGCAGTGACACCCATCTCTTTGGGACAGCGATACCACGTGCCCCACTGTTACAATCATTAGCACGCACATCGAGCATTGCACAGGCAAAAGAGCATACTTTAGTACTACAAATACAAAACCTCCACATCTCACACTTTCTTTTTTTCCTATCCTCCAACATTTTTAGTGTCCTCACTTTCTGCCTGGATTGCAAGTTGTTCCCAACTCCTAAAGAGAATGAGAGCCAGAGCTTCAGCACACGTAACTTCCAGACAGGTAAGTAACATCACTGAGAGCTCTCACTTACAGACAGTGAATTATTACCAGCAGAACATGATACTGCTTGCTCTTGTCAGACTGACCCTAGAAAATGAGACAAAGGCTTTTTTCAGGGTTCACCTGAAATAAATTCAAGAGCTGGCTGCTCCTAAATAGCACTGTTATGTTTGCAGTGTGGGCAGACCCCAAACATCCTGGAACAAAAGGTCCCCCTCCTTAGGACCCTGAGCTGCAGGCACCTCACCTGCCTTCTGTGTGTCAGAACCTGAGCACAGAGGAGCTGCAATGCACCCACAGTGCTACGAGACAACCAGAAACTCAGGCATCTTCCTGTGTAAATAATGTCTCCTAGGGAAATGTGTTATGAGGGTTATGATTCAGCAAGTGCATTTTTCTCAAGTCAGCACAAAGCCTGCCCGTTCATCATGGGTACTTTTAAAGTACAGTTTTATAGGGCTGGAAGGGAGCACCTCATCTGGACTGCAGAGAGAAGCTTACACTGTATAATATGCTTGGAGTGTGCTGAAAAACTATGTTTTCATTTCAAGCACTTCTGAGTGTAATTAACCTGGGACATGAGAAAAACAATTCTATTACCCTTTCTAAAGTGTTTTTCTCCTGTGGATAAACCTCTCCCTCTTGATTTTTTCTTTTTGCTTTATTTTAAATGGGGCACTTGTGGTAACACCATAGGGATTTTCTGATTAGTTTTCTATTCATTTTCTTTTCTCTTTTTTTTTTTTTTTTAACCTAGACAGCAATATTTAACCAGAACAACTGTTTTTGAAAATATACGTATGTTTTTCCCCCATAAAAGAATATAGTCTACTATTAAATACAAAGAAATGGTGATCAGTAGCACGCCTCAAAACTATAGTTTATCAACCAGGAAGATTAGATAAATGAGATTTTCTAAGTATTAGAAAACCCCTCAACTTGATAGCAGTGGTGGAAAAGGTATGTAACAACAATCAATCATTTCATGATTGTCTGCTCCAAATTGCCATCTGCCTTCATATTTTTGATTAAGATCCTACTGAGATTTGATGTACACAGTTAATAATCCCCACAAAGAGAAGGATGAAACAGTAAAATCAAATCAATGGCAGTAAGGCCAGTTTTCAATATGCTCAGAAAGCTGGCAGGCAAAAGCCTGGAGAAGGCACATTTATTCCAGTGCAAAAGGGAAAAGAGGTCTCAGGCTACCTTAAGCACCACACAGATCAGGTAGGTAAGGCTCAGAGGCTTTCACATGGCTGGATCCTGATGAAATGCACTCCAGGATACCTAAAGAACTCTCTGAAGTAATCTCAGAACTGCTGGTTGGTCTCTGGTAGAATGGCAGCTCTGCTAGAAGGCCAGAAAAGTGCACAGTGCCCAGCTTCAGAAATGGGTGCAGGTATGTCGAGGGACTCTGACCCTGTTGTTTTAACCACAGTTCTTGGGAAGAAAAATCTTAAACGACTGAATGAGCTCATTACAAATATCTGAAAAGTAAGCACCTCGTTCTGATGATAAGCCAAATAATCTCAGTAACGCACAATAAATAAATGAAGTGCTTAATTCTGGTTTTGAATGACCTGCTTTTGGTCCCCTGAGACTAAGAACCAGCATGTGGAATTCAGTGCAGAGATACCCAGTGGTAATAAAGGACTTCATGGTAAGTAAAGGACGCGTTCTCACCAGGGTTAGCAGAGCCACTCATGCCAGATGAGTCAAATTTGTAACAGCTCTGTGGAAAATCTAAAATATGAACCATCTTTAAAGCTTGCTGTCTTATTATCCAAGAAAATTTCTGACTGGGAAAATCACACTGAAAATCCAGGTTTGTCTTTTTCATTCCAGTTTATGTAGTCCTGCGTTTTATCTAGCTGATCATTAATCCACGAGATGCAACACTGTGATATCAGTAAGTATTTCTCTCACATTTTGTTTATCCAAATAGAATAAGCTCCATTTGAAACGGAAGGCCCAACATATAACCTTCCATATGCAGTAAGTGGGCATCTTCAGCAACAGGTTTTACATATTATTCTTACCTACTTTAAGCTTAAACTAATTAGAGATGTCTGTGAATCATTAATTTTCCACATTATTGGAAAAATCAAGCTTTGCTCCTTTGACGGCCTCCTGCTAGCTCTCCCAGCCACACACCTCCATCACAATCCTGCCTTAGCAGGTGCAAGAGAGAATAGATGGAGAACTTCGGTGAATCTCACATCTGTTTTTTGAAAAAGGGAACAGAAGCAGCACAGAAGGAAGTAAGAAAGATAATTGCTGGCTTGAACTACAATACATTTTACTTACGGGCGAAGGGCCAGTTTACATCAGGCAGAATATGCAGGACCATCTTATTGGAATTCAGGGGTGGCCCTCCATTCTTGTCCGGAGACAGCTGTAAACCAGCAGCCCATAGCATCACAATCAGGCACTGAGTTTTGTTGAGGAATGCTGATACGTACAGAAGCAGCTTCAGCAGCTTCGGCTGCACCCCTACCTAGCAAAATGACAGTCAATCTCCAATTCCAGATGACAAGAACTGGAGAAAACCTTAAAACAAATGGTGACCTTTCAAAAGATTAATTTGTTTACCAACAAAACATTCTACGTTTGTCATCTGAGATGGAGGTGACCTTCACATTCCCATTTCTGGGTTGAAAGGATTCTGACTTTACTCATCTGTTAAGTTAACTCCATCTCACCAATTATTTCCTTTTTAATTCTAGTGACAGGATGATTTTATTAATCCACTGTGCTGCTTATTATGATTACATACCGTAAGACAAATGCAACAAGCTTATTTTGAATTACTGTCATGTAGCATCGATTTGTTTAGGTCTCATTCTGCTACCAATGACAAACCGTGCTCTGACTGCAATTATCAAAGACACACGAGTCTAAAAGAATCCGATTCTGAGGACCAAAGACCTGCTCTTCTCCTACAACTTCTAATAATCTGAAAGGAAAAGAAATGCCAAGCTCTGCCTTAACTTATAGCTCTGGAAATGAATAGACCCTCAGTGATAAGCCTTAGTGATCAGCACAGTGCGAAGAACAGAGGATATAACTAGTGACTGCACTCAAATAAGTCAGCTAAAAAAAAAGCAACCAGCAAAACAGAATCACTGCCATCTCCATTACAGCCACACTATATAAGATGCAACTCATAAAGGCTAGAAATCATCACCATATTAAATTCTAACTCATGAATAAATTAAGAGGTTCCTAAGTTTACAGCATAATATATATTTATATGAAAACAGGGACCAAAAAGTGCCAGTATAATTCTATAAAAGAACAGCAGTCCTATCGAAATGAAACATATAGTTGTGAATCTTTTCTACGTTGCAGCAGTTAGCCAGAATTATTTTTGCTGCAGTTCAGATTACTGTTTGTTTTGCTGGATCCTCACGGGAAGAGTGCATACTTAATTATTGTCTGCTTGTCTTTCTTCATTTGTTATCCATATATAGTCTACAAAACAAAGCGATGCCCGGTCTGACCACGGTGCTTCCAACAGAATTACATTTCTCATTTGAAGATAACTACAAAGGATGAAGCATTAGTGCTTATCCACCCAAAAAAGTACAGAAGGGCAACAGTGACGGCGCAATTAATCGCTTGTAGTTTCTGTCATAACGTATCAGTATACGACAAAAGACAAAGAAATCTTTCATGAAAAAAAATGAGATTTAGAAGTTTGAAAATGAAAATAATTTTTCAAGCTACTCAAACAGCAAGATAGTGAAAAGCCTGTGTGCCTCATGTGGACCTACTCAGTTACAGCAAAGCCAGAGAGCCTGCCATGGCACTGCAAGCACAAACGCTCAGGTCTCCCTCAAAACTCAGATGCTGAGCACTCTTGGAGAAAGAGGTGAATGCAGTTAACGAAGTGATTTGTTTCTCATTCACGTCGCTGGGAGAGTCCTCCTGCCGCTGATTTTTTGGGGGAGATGATCACTGAAGGCACTGGAATGGCTGCCCAGGGAGGTGGTGGAGTCGCCATCCCTGGCAGTGTTCAAGAGGCGCCTGGATGAGGAGCTACGAGAGATGGTTTAGTGCTTGTGGCACTGATAGGAATGGGAGGGTGGTTGGACTGGATGATCTTGCAGGTCGTTTCCAACCTTGTGATTCTGTGTGATTCTGTGATTCTGTGAATTTAGGTATGCAAGTAGAGCAGGTATGTGGGTACGCTCACGTGTCTGCACGTGTGTGTGATCCCGTGTGTGCGTGTGTACAGATATTGCCCTCTAATGGCTGATCAGCAAAAATAAGGTAGGCAGTACCTAACTTCATTCTTCTTGCTGTTTTCTGCTTCCTGAAACTAAAGGCTGTATAGTTTTAGACCTGCAACTGCACACAGATTTATTTCAGTTACCATTGGTGATCTCCAGCTCTCACTGCACTGAGTGCTTGTACACCTCGCACTTCACAAAATGCCTTTGTTCACAATCCAGGCAGTAGACTCTGTGAATCTAATTGCAAAATTGTACCCCCACTGAAGGCAGAACATTTCAAAACCAAGATCGTGTCATGCAGTGCAAAAACATTTAAAAGCATCTGCTTAGGAAAGCTGTAAAATACACGACAGACAGGAAATACCTTCTTGTTTTTTCATCCAAGCTCCCTATCACAAAAAGCAACTGTAAATATGTATCAGAAGTTTGACTAATTTATACTGTCTGTAATTTCAGTCAACACGAAGAAGTTTTCTCGATGTGTTTCAGTGAGAGCAGTAAAACACATGGCACTCAGCAGCAGTATAACATTCCTCCCTGTGAGCGTTTTAGAGTGGTTCTAAAAAGCTATTAGCCATGATGCTTTTCTCTCATTAACTGTATATCACAGGGTTAGACAAATCACCCTTTAGTCTGGGCAAGAGCCTTCAAAAATCAGTTTTCTGAGTGGCAGCTTACAACTGTGCCATCCACAGATTGCTTCTGGTACCTAAAACCAAACACCTTAGAATCTTATGGCACTGGACTTGCTGCATAATGCTTCCGTTGTAAAAGCAAGTTCTAGGACAGCACTCTTGTACAAGACTGTTGGGCATGTTCTTTCACATGGACCACAGTGCTGCACTAAATTTGAGAACGTGACTGATCTCTTGTTATGGTATTTAAGAGGAGCAGCAGTTGCAGAACTGAAACGTGTGGGAATCAAAACGTAATGTAGCACAACGTAAGCAGCATAAGAGCAGAGAGCAGGGTGATGATGTGGCCACCGGTCAGGGGACTCTGAGGGGCCTTGAGAGGTGTTCTGTACCAAAGGAAACAGCTCTACTGAGCTGAATGAAAGGCTGTGCTTCAGAATCCCTCAAAGCTCAACTGTGAGCACACTGCATTCATGAATTAGCTCAAGGATTCTGATTCACTGTAATCTCTGTTTTCCTGCTGCAGTGATTTCTGATGCTGTAGCCCTGCGGCAGGATTCCTTCTTTTATTAAAGTCAATTGAAACTAGCATCAAAGCAAAATACAAGTGTTTCAGGCTCATTCACAACAATCCTACTGGCATTTGAAAACAGGATGTGCTCATATCTTGTAAAGAAACAGCTGGGGAATAAACAAGCAAAAGGCCACCCTTCCTTGATCTCTGGGCCACAGCCTGAACTCCACAAGCTCCCTTTTGTTTCTCTTCCTAATCTTACCATGATTACACACATTCCCATACACATTTATACGTTTGCTGGACTAAGCACCCATAACTGTTATGCTGCACATTTGTTTTCCCCAGTGTTGTCACTCAGATTGCTTTGTTACACATGAATGTCAACAAACAGAAAACTATGAGGTACTTTCCCTTACAACGTAAATAGTTTTTCAGTTAAGGTCTGATCTGTATTAACTTTACTGGTGAGCAGCCAACGTGTGCAAGTCCACAGGACAACAGAAGTTACTTACAGGAGCAGGTTTTTTCTTAGTTATACGTGGCAGCCTGGTCTCATAGCTCTGTTGTTTCAAAACAGCTTTCTTACTGATGTTTTCTGGGTCAAGCATAAGCTTCATATCCATTTCCAGCTGCTTCTGAAACATGTAATGGAAACATGGAACGTGCATGGTCTTAAAACAGTCGGCCATAAGTATTCAGGGATTGACTGATGGTACAAAATGATGCAAAATGTGCAAAATGCTGACTAAAAAGAACGCTGTTATCTCACTATCCCCTCAGAGCTGGGCAAACAGTGCAAAAGTGTGTGCTGATTGGACAAACAGCCTAGAGAGGCATCAAACACATATCCCAAATTTGTTCAATTAATTTCACTGCAGTGTTCTGAAAGTCCCAGATTTGCACATCTTTGAGTAACGTTTTAAGTGCAAAAGACAATCCTGTTTCACTGACTTGGGGTCAGTTCTACATTCAGTTTACCTGTGCTACAACAGACGATTTAATACTTACAAGTTAGGAAACACAACCAAAGCAAATAACATTTTCAGAAAAAATTCCCACCTTGCTATTATGAATATTAATACAAATTATCCTGTTAGAGAGGAAGAGCTAAAGTCACATCTTATATTATGCTGACATGGATATTTCCTTCCCTGAATGATGTCTCAGGTGAATCTCAGATCACCTTTCTCATTGATTTTGCATCTCAGGCTGACAAAACAAACTGGTGAACTAGTCAAGGGGGTGCAATGCATGCAGCAAACCAGAAATACACAGAAATAGACAGAGACCCAACATGGAGTCCTGACCTGAAGCACACATCCTATAAAACCCAGAGGAGGCATCATTTATTCTTCTACTCTGAAAGTGTCTCGAGGTGAAAACATTTCAGTTCATGATAACGCATGTGCTTTCATTTACATCTATGCTAATTGCAGTGATACCTCCCAATGCTTTTATTGCTTCTTGAGCAGTCTCTGCACCCAGCAGGGTTTATTTACTGACCAGTGCCAAAGAGGGAAGAGTCCTGAGGTGGCAGGGAGGAATGGGGCACCAGGCATGTCAGCACAGCACAGTTACTGAGAGCAGCTGGAGCCCTGCCACTGCTTTGCAGTGGATCCAGATCCCAGAGCACGGATATGGGAATGCAAAAAGCCCTCTTACTGTGTGAAATCCAACTGAGGATATTTATAGAGGAGAACTCTCTGCTGATACTTCTGTTGTGTAATCGTAATAAAGGAATTTATGAAAATTGCATTTGCTGACAAACAAAATGTGCCACGAGAAGTGCAAGAATTGTTGGAGGTACGTTTGAGCTATGAAGGAATTGCATTACTTTGTGTAAGCACGAAAACCTGGTAAATTTCTTTATCTGCACAATATATTCCCTTATTTTGATAGTAATTACAAGCAGATGTATCAATGAGACACTCCTTCAGATCTGGATTTGTAAGAACAAAAGTTATTATCCAAGCCAATTACTCTTTTACCCACATGGCTGCACAGAGACAGAAAGTTCAATTTGCACCTCATCAGTGATTTTGTGGTATTTATTTTATTGCTATAACACTACTGTATGGAAAGGAAACTGCTTGTGCTATTAAACAAGAATTGGGAAAATCTGAGTATCTTCTCAATTAAAACAGGAGATGGTTCACCATGCAAATTCCCCAGTCAGGCAGTGCAGCGATCAGCACCGGAGTGGCAGATTCCACTCAGTGTAACAAGAATGGAAACGCTTAATCTAAAAAGCAGAACTCAAACAAAATAACAATAACACACCAATAAAGGTCACTGCATAGGCTGGCAGTGTATGTGTATGGCAATGGGCAACCCTACAGCTGCAGGGTTATCACGGGTCCTTCTGTCTACCTTGTCCGGTGCCTGATATTGAAGCTGCCTTGAGCCAGCTTTGTGTTTTGTGAAACAGAGGAGAGCAGCAGTGCAAAGCACGTTGTGATGCTGAGAACTACTGTGCTCCGTTATTAGCACTGTGTACACAGCAATATACAAAACAAGCTGATGTGATCAGTACAGCTAAGGATTCACACCCTCTTATACTTCAACACAGAAAACATCTCAGAGCTGAGGGCATTTTGTTGTGCGAAGCCACCAGGTCAAACTCAGTTCTGTTTTGCAGCTTCAAGCCATGCATGATTTCAAATAGAGTCTAACTTCCTAATGAACGACTTACATTATGTTCATCTTTGAAACAGCATGTATGCCAGTAACTAAACCACTGTTCAAGTCTATCAGTGGCTCTTCCATATTCTAGAGCCTTCTAGAAACAGCGCTTATTGACATCTTTAATTCTATTGGAGATGAGAGAATATTCACTTGGAGTCTTTATAACTACTGCAGAAGGAAGACACCTTTTATGGTTCTCAGGCATCAACATCATCGCAACAAACCCAATTACAGCACATAGTGAGCAAAAAAAAAAGGAGGGACAGTGCTTCACAACTCCCCTGTGAGCCAGGTTCACCCAGCCCCATCCTGTTGCTGCTATCACTCAGAAATACCATCCTTGTGACTAAGCAACAACTTTAAGCCCATCCTGACACCTGTGGGCAAGCTATTTCACTCACAAGTATTCCATGTGAAAATTGCATCTGTGCTCATGTGACTCCAACATTATTTTATCCTAACTGCCACAAACACAACCTGAGCTCCATTTCTACTCTCACACGACCTGCTGCAGATTGCAAAGCACAAAAATATCACTGTGTGAATTATTCATTTCTCTCAGAACCTGCAAGAGTCGAGAAGTTGATTTCTTCAAGCCTACACAACCAGAAATACTGCCTGCAAATGGAAAACTATTTGTTCACAGAGCTTTTATTCTGAGTGGAAAAAACACAAAAGTGCACTTAAATAAAACCAAAAAATGTTCATAGTTGCCAGTGAGGCAGAGACAGGAAGTGAGGAACCGCAGGTGGTAATTTCCCAGCTGGATTTCACAACTATTTGATAACAGAAGCTTTTTATGTTGGCATGACGGGCATGTGGAACAGCTGGCAGAACAGCACTGTTTGCCCCTGTCTTCATCATGGGAAATGAGGGGTAGCTCGTGTGTCACTGGGTGTGCATCTCTAAGCAGATGAAAAGAGAAAGTCAGGGCAGCATACAGCATGAGCTCCCCTGTAATTTAAGCTCACTGGTGCACACAGAGAGTTATAAAACCACTGATAATGGGGAGCGTTCAGAGTAGCTGGACTCTGCTGGTGTGTTTCAAACATAAATGTGTTCCTACAGGACAGGGTTGGGTGTTGGCCAACTGCACTCTGCTCTCAAAACACCACCAAGCACCGTTCTCCATTCGAAACTGAGAAAGCCAGGAGTACATCAGTCAGCAGACATCAGAGTTCATCTTCCTTGTCAATTACAAATGAAAATATTTTCCAAACGGTAACAGCAACATCTTACACAAAGATATAAAACGGATAGAAAAAGATTTCCAACTTTTTCAATACAATCTCACAGAATTTCATTTCTATGGTTCTACTGAGCAAAGAAACTTGAGCAAGTGAAATAAAACCCGGAGCTCTCACTGCACTTTTTCATCACCTCAAGACTAAGTAACATTAAAACATTACTTCATGGCGAGACTTCTTTTATAAAGAACAGGAGAGCCAGGCTGCTCATTCTGGCCATACAACTCCATGTCATTCCTGGTACAACAGAACGCCTCTCCTTAAAGCTCCCACTTACCAAACTTCCCTTGAATTTAAATTGTAATGGCCCAAAGTTGTGACAATAGGTATTTTTTACTCAATTAATTACACACGTTTTTAAAATGTGTTTGAGGAAACTACCAGAAAACTCACCCAACAAAACTCAGATCTTGAAATAAAAAGTACTTCAGATACAAACATTTTCAGAAGGCTTTAAATTAGTTACAAGGATTACAGTTTTGGAAGACAGTGAAACGTTGGACTTCAAGCAGAAAACCTGAACTTAACACAGAGGTGACTGCCCTGTATAAGAAAGAAAACTGTTCCCACAGCTCTGCATATCTCTTACACAAAGCCAAACCAGAGAACCAGTTTTAGTCTCACATAACACAAACTCATGCTATTCCAGGATACAATCCCTTTTATTTCAAAGGCACTGCTTGCAGAAGTGCAGCTATGCATATGGTATTTGCTGGACTGGGACCTTACAACAGAATGAACATCTGGCTTCAGGATTCTTTATCAGCATACATGGGAAATGGATGCACCACAGTGATACCAAAGTCCTTCCTAACCTGGATTTTAGCCAGCAGGGAAAAGCAGGGAGAAGGCTCCTGCCTTTCAGCTCCCTCATTTACTGAGGGTCTGTAACATTCAGTCACCAGATGCTGTGTTATCAAACCCTGAACTCACGTGGAGCCAGAACAAAAGGGCCATAGGATCAACCAGTACCTATGAGATGCCAGTGCACCCATTTAGTGCAGTCTGGGAAACAAGTGAGCTGTGATTTCAGACCTGCGAGCCTGGAGAAAGGCGCAGCGCTGCTCTGCTGCATGCCTGGGCAGTCATGGGCTCAACGGGCACCGGTGGTAAAACCAGCTGGTTCTCAGAAGCACCACATTGAAGGCACCTAGTTAGAAAGAAGAAAGAGTGAGGTTTGTAAAACCTACCTTGATGTCACCTATGAAATGCATGCTGCTCCCACCTGGTTGCATCTAAAAGACTGCATTCTTGTTTAAACTTGTTAAGCAAAAAATCACAAGTGCTAGCAGTAGGTTGCTGTAAGACAGCATTAACTTTTGTATTGATTTAACTTATACAAAATATAACTCAAATAGTAAATGACCCAAAATAACCTAACTTGGGCCAACATTCCCATCTGCTTCACAAGATTCTGATGCTGCAGTTTTTCTGTCTTGCTGCCTTTGTCTCTGCCACGAAGCAAATGATGTCTCACTTACCATTCAGGGGGCTGTTTGGGACGAATTTCTTCATTGTCAGTAGCAGAAATAGTTAGCACTTCTCTGCTTACAGCACTTAAAAAGCTTTCAGCATGTTCCTGCCAGAAGAGAAAAAGGTTTGGACAATTATAAAAGTATGAGGGATGCATTAACTTAGCGAACTAGATCCTCCCTTGACCAAAAAGTTTTAGGCTTTGTGCTTCTGTTGGACTCAATTAGATTTTGGCCAAAGCCAAGAAATGCAAAAGCAATCAATTCTGAGCACACCAACAAAGGGAAGCCATGGCACTGAACCACAGTGTGTGATCAGTCCTAGCATTCACTGGTCACAGAGGGAACTCCAGGACAGCCACACACGGCCGTGGCTCTGATCGCTGACCTCAAAGACGAGCCGTCCTCTGGATCTGCCCTACATTACTTACTCTCAGCCCAAACTCAGTTCTTTCAATTGCTGTTTCCAGGTCGCTGATATCCTCAGCTTCCACGTTTCCTTTCAAGCTGATGTTTTTCACTTTGTCTTTAAGCTTGTGCAGATCTTCTTGAACCTAAGAAGCAAGTCATGACAGAGGTCATTCCCATCCCCAAGCCCGTGCGGTTACAGAGCAGCGTTCAACCCAAACCAACGCCTCCTGAACACAGCACAGAAACACACACAGCCTCCCTTAATTCTGCGCTTTTACGAGTGAGAGAGAAACACAATGCCAGTACGTTTAAAGCCATTGATCAGGAAGAAACCTGGGGGGGGAACAAAAACATCATTGAAACAACGAATCACTGTCAGTAACCATCAGGACGGCAGTGGGTCAAAGCACCCGCAGCAACATGGCATAGCAAGGCACTACATGGCACGGCACTACACGGCACGGCACCCACCCGCAGCAGCAGCGCGGCTCCCGCCCGCTCTCCCTGCCCCGCAGTGCCGGCCATGCCCGCCGCCCGCTCCCATGGCAACGCGACGCGCGGTCCGGGCCGCACCACCAGCCTCACCGCGGGGGGAGGGCAGGGAGAAGCGGCCAGGTCGGTCGGTCGGTCAGTCGGTCCATCCCGAGCGCGGCCCCGCTCTCCCTCCCCCGGCGGCTCTCCGCTCTCCGCTCTCCCCGCAGCAGCTCTCGGCCGGCGTTTCCCCGCTCGGTCCCCGCCCGCTCCACGCGGTGGTAGCGGCGGGCGGAAGGGGCGCGGCGGGCGGCGGGCGCCATGGCGGCGGCGGGGCCGTACGCGCTGCTGAGCAGCTGTGATGGCGGCTTCGCGGCGGAGGAGCTCGTCAGGCGTGAGTGGGAGGCGGGCGGCGGGCGGCCGCGGGTGTGTGCCCGCTGCGAGCCCTCGCGGGGCTTCCGCTGTAAGGCTTTACACGGGCGGCGGGAGGCGTGGGTCGGCCGACGGTGGTGTTGAGCGCCGGTACCATCCCGCTACCGGCAGGAGGGAAAACGGGAGCAGGAAGGTCCTGAGGGCCGCGCTGCAGCCCTTTGTGCGTCGGTACGGAGCTCCGCCCTGCGCTCCTGGGACGCGGCTTCCTTTCTTACAGCTCGAGAAAGTAAAATCTGATAGCGAGAACTTGAAAGTTCAACTAGAGCTAAAATGGGAGAGATGGCAGGAAGAAGCTGTTTGGATCTCGGTGGTTTTGCCGTGATGGCTTTTTAGGGAGCTGCGATAAGTCGCTGGATGTGCGTGGTAAGATGGGCGGTTCAGCTGCTTGAAATGAGAGGCCATCCAGAGAGCCGGGGCTGTGGGCACAGGTGAACCTCGCGAGGTTCATCAAATTCAAACACGAGGTTTTGCACCTGGGTTGTAGCAACCGCCAGTCTCAGTATAAGTGGGGGGTGAACAGAGCACGGCCCTGCAAAGAGGGCTTGGCAGTGCTCTTGGGTGGCACCTGGGTGAGCCAGCAGTGTGCCCTCAGCCCAAACAGCCAACTGTGCTCTGCGCTGCATCACAGACAGCACGGCCTGCAGGTCGGGGAGGTTTCATTTCTGTGATCCTGTCCCTCTGCGCTGTGAGGTCTCACTTGGAGTTCTGCATCCAGGTGTGGAGTCCTCTGTACAGGTGAGATATGGACCTGCTGGAGCACATCCAGAGAAGGGCCACAGAAATGGTCTGAGGGGTTGAACGCCTCCTTATGAGGACAGGCTGAGAGCGGGGGCTGTGCAGCACGGAGAAGGGAAGGCACTGGGGGGCCTGGCAGCAGCCTCTCCATAAGCTGATCTAGCTGTAGGTGTCCCTGTTCTTTGGACTAGTTGGACTAAGTGACCTTTAAGGGTCCCTTCCCCCTCTAACAACTTGTCCATTCCACCTCATTAAGCCACGTTTGCAAACAAGAGTGGCAACGTGTCTACAGTCAGAGATTACTCTATGAAAGAGCTAGGCTGATATGATAGACTGATAAGAATTGTAAAATTTTATTCTTGATTGCTTGTTTGTAAGGAAGCTGCAAGCATAGTGAAAAGAACTGTTCACAGTTCCTATAGGCTTTTTTTTATTTCTCGTAGTGAAATTAAGTAGGTGAAAAAGGAAGGTAAGCCAAAAGCTTGATGGAAATACCATCTGCTCTGAGAAAGTCTAAAAGCTTAACTTCCATCAGGTTTTATCTTTTCTCCAAGTTGTACTCATTTAGGAATGCCTGAGCTTGCACCATTTTCTGCTTTTAAAACAGTCTCGTGAATCCTCTTTGCAGCCTCTTGTTGAGTTGCTTTTAGAGATGTTCTTAATGCTTCTGAAATAAAGCATAGTGGAAAGAAACAACGTGAAGAACCTAAAATGCCTGCTTTGTGTAGCAGGTGTTTCAGAGCCAGGAACATTAGCAAACAGCAAAACTTGTAAGGACTTGTAGATGAGGATCACGTGGCAGCGGCTGGTTGCAGCTGATTGAGAGCTGCTGGTGAGTTGGGACAAAATGCTGCTACAGTGTGCAACCAGAAACAGCAGCTTGAAGGCATCGCTTGGTAGTGGCTCAGCTTGGTGCTGAGGACAGGAGCCTTACGTTAACACATCTGAAGCAATGTGATGTTTGATATGCCGTAATTATGTTTAAATACACTCTTAAATACTATATTGCATGGTAGATCCACGTAGTGGCTGTGGGTTTGGAATCTGTAGTGCAAAACAAAGAATTTACCTCTTATCACTGCTCTCACCACCATGTTCCTGGATCTCCCTGGTAGGTACTTGCTGTGGGCAGACCTGTTTTATACATACAGAGCAGCTGCTTGGAGGCTTCTCTGCTAGGAGTCAGCAAAACCTGCAATCTGCTGCTGCTTCCCAGTCTAATTACAAGGCTCTTCACAGGATGCTTATTTGAGTTCTCTTTAGTTGGTGGGAGCATTTCTTACGTTGCGTTCCACCAGGTGGCTCTCAAGGCACAGAATGGGAGCGATGTGGGGCTGGCACACCACATCCAGCTGGCAGGATGGGGAGCACTTGGCCATAGTAGAAAACTGAATTGTGCTCCTGCATGCGTTCAATCCAAAGCAAGCTAAGAAGTGCAATCAGTATTAAATCTCTTTGGCAAGGGTGAAAAGAGAAATTGCAATGATTCTGAAAAAAACAAAAAGACTAGTCCAGGGGCCTTAAGCACAAAACATTAGAAGTACTTAATGTCAGTTGGTTATTAGAGCCTGGGGAACACTGCAGTAAGATGTGAGGTGATCTGTGTCTGGTTCTTTGTCTCAACTTCTCAGGAAGGTTGTTTCTTACCTCTCATGGTCCTTTTGAAAAAGGAGTTGATAAGCTGGGTTTTGCAGTTCTGCATTGTCCTATTCCTTGTAAATTAAACCACTGCTCAGAAGACCAAGTCTGTATGCAAGCCCTTGAAATGAGAAGTGTGAGTCCAGAGCCTGGAGTGACTCACCCTGCCAGGGAAGCACCTGCTGCTCCAAAGAGCTTTAAAGCACGAGCATGGCACACAGCTGTGCTCTGCCTTAATTAGCATTCAGCCGTTACTGATGAGATGGTGGGAGTTTCAATAAGTAATTTTGGTAACATGTCCAGCATCAGTTGTTCAAGATCCTCTACAGAATGCTCAGCTTTAGATCATGGCTTTAATGATGCTAAGCCACGCTCTTCTGTAGTGCAAACTTTTCCATGCATGTTTTTAGTTCCTTATTACTGATGCATTTGGAGTCTGCCTGCATTCCTGTTGTCTGAGGAAGCTGTTTGTGCTCCATGGAGGAGTGAGGAGATGGGGAAGCCCCGTGGGCCTGCCTGCACTGCTGTCTGTGGCTGAGGTGGTTTTCCAGACCCTTTGGATGGCAAAACACTGATGCTTGCGATGGCTGGAAAGCCTGAAATGAAAAAGGAGTAACTCAGCTGAGATAAGTTTGACAAGTCACCTCCCTTTGCCGTATTTGTTTTGTGGAAGTTCATTCTGTATCCAAATAAAACATAATGGAGCTTGTTCTGATGAATGTTCTCTAAAATTAGATAGGAAACTATTCTGGCTGGATTTGCTTTTTTCCATTGAAACACAAGCTGTGTTGGGAAGAAACTCCTGGAATCCCAACGTGGCAAATATAATTTTAGGATTCATTCTGATGTGAATTGTGTCCCTGTGAACTCAGCCCGGGCTGCAAGGTGTAGGATTTGGCAGGCTCCAAAGCCCCCACAGTAATGGGTCTAAACCTGCAGGAGGAGAGGAGAAGCCCCCCCGCAGCCCCCAGCCTGCAATTACCTTCCTGCCACAAGCCCTCAGGCAGTGCTGTAGTTATTGGTTCATCCCTGTGTGCTGTCCCAGCCCCAGAGAGCTGGATGAAGTCCTTGCAGGCAGCTCCTGCACCCTTGGAGCTCAGTGTGCACCGTCCATTTTCACTGGCAATGTCTTCTCTTGGGGTTGGCAAAATCCCTTTGGGTACAGGGCAGCAGGCAGAGGCACAGTGGGATGGATGAAGAGTGCTTCCAATGCAGGAGCAGCAGCACGTGATGGGAAGTGGGGATGTCCTACTTCTTCAGGCAGTGCTTTGAGGCCTAAGTTTGCCTACAAGCCCTTGTACAAGAAAAAAAAATCACTTACAAAATTGGCGTAGAAATTCTTTCACACCAGTTTTTGATGTCTTTTGGAAAACGTTCTCTTTCTGTAATCTTACTTTTGCACACACCCTTTCCCAAAGTTTTACTGCTGATTTTCCAACTGTCAGCAATTCCATGGCAACAAACCATCGGAAACGTGGTTGTGCCTGAGGCATCGACCAGGAGGGACTGGTACAGCTAGGATCCTCCATTCTCCTATGGAAATAAGCAGATCAGAGTAAGCAAGCCCTTTTTTTTCCTGCTAACCCACTGCTCTTCAGCTGGCAAACTTGTGAGTTTCAGCTGAGTTGAGCAGGAGCTGCCTCCATTGGCCTGAACACCCACTGACAGTGAACTCCTGGCCTAGCATAGGAGATACAATCCTGTTTACCACAGCTACCAAACTGCATTATGCAGAGCATGGCACTTAATTAGCTGGTGTTTCATAGCAGGAACTTGACAAAGGGCTTCTATTGTACTAGAGCATCGCATTAAACCTGTGCACTGTGTAAGGTGCCTTGCCATCACGTGCCACTGAGCTGCTGTGTGCTGCCTAAGAGTGAATAAAGAAGTTGCAGAACAGCAGAATTCTTTCAAAATTACTGATTTGCATTAGCTGTTCTGTATTTGTCAGTGAACATAAGTTTACAAGCTTGTGCTCCAGAAATACAAAGTTCGGAGTCAAGATCTGCTTGGTGTTAACTCAGCAGTGTTGTCCCTGCCCCCAGGTGCTGCCTTGTCCAAGAACAGAATGCTGATTGCAGCCTAGTTGCTCCAAAAATTTGTCATCCAAATTAAAAAAAAGCTGAACTTCCTTACACTAGAAAGAAGCCAAGGTGTAAACTTGGGTTTTTCTGTAAGAAGCCTGGACAGGTTTCCTCCAAGATTTGTCACACCAAGATCACATTTCCCCTCCAATTCCCCACTTCATGCTCCTCCCTGCCACAAATCCACCTGGTTTACAGCTCTCCTTTGTGCTGTCCTGTGTGCCAGAGCTCAGGCACTGCTTAACCTGCCCAGGCTCCGCAGTTAGCTGCCAAAATAATAATAATAATAATAATAATAATAATAATACTGAATCTACCTGTGGCAGCCCTGGCAGTGAGCTTTCCTGCCTTTAGCTGCTAAGACACAGATCACTTCAGTCTATCTGGGGAGCAGCACGCACTGGCATCTTCAGGAATTGTCTCAGTACCTTTAAGGTGTAACCCTTAAAATCTCTGAAAACATTTGGTTTTTGTATTATTTTTTAACTCCTCTGCTCCCCAGCTGACTCAAGCGATTACATGAATCACTTACAAGATATCCATGATTGTTTATCTGGAACAAGATGTTCTGCCCTTTCCAGCAAGGTACGGCTGGGTTGCTCTGCTGCTCCCTGTAATTCAGCCCCACCAGGTGGCCGTCACACTGTGAGTGTTCTGCAAAGGCTGCTGCCAGCACACGAGGGGCAGGCAGTGCAGAGATTGCATTATCCAAGCACTGCCCTGGATTTTAATTGTTGAACTCCTACCTGGAATTTAATGGGCATTACAACCGAATTCCAGTAACTTGCTTTATTTTCTCATTAGTTACCTTGAGATTCTGGTCACAGTCAAACAGGTTTTTTTTTTACATCTGAATGAACACGCAAGGTTTGCTGGAATGAAGTGTAGTTATTTGCTCCATCCATCCTGCTTATAGGGAATAAGTTCAGGGCTAGCACTTTAAAACATGTTTGAGGGGAAAAAAAACCAACAGAACACCTTACTTTCAACAGAGCTTCTGTACCATATTTTTTTCTGAAAGCTAGAGTTTGTCTAAGACTCATAAATAATACAATAAAATAAGAAATTGAGTTTAATTTTTTTAATGAAAACAACTTATTTTGTTGTAACAGGTGAAGATGGCTCTGTATTGGTGTTGTACCAAGCTTTTCCAGTTTAATTATTACCTCAACGCTGGTTTGTATCATTTCTCTCATTCAATTTCTTTCACGCAGGCATCACAGGAAGAGAGGACCTCAGTGTGGGTGCTACTACAACTGGAGGAGTGAGCTTTTACCCCTGGACGATAGATAACAAGTATTACTCTGCAGACATTCACCTCTGTGTGGTGCCAAACACAGCTCTGGTCACAGGAGCCATCGCTGAATCTGTGCAGGCGTTCGTGGTGTACTTCGACAGCTCCACAGTAAGATCTGTGCCCCGTGTTGCTCTATCTGGGTGATACAGTTGCCTTGCTGTGATGACTACAGTTAGTATTCTCTCAATCTTGTGACCTCTGTTCCTTTTGTTCTACTGATGGTCAGTAGATCAGAGGTCAGTTATTCCCACTGCCAATGGCAGCAGGAGCGTTTCCTTCCCTTCTGCTGTTTCACTCCTGCTGGAAACAAGGCTTTTCAGGATGGAAATAGGCCACTAAGTTAGGCCAGTCCTCCTCCAGCCTGTGACCTCCAGCTTTGCTCTTAGGCAGTGATGGTTCAGAAAGGCTGTTTGAAAACAGCCAAGAACAAGGAAGCCAATTCTAAGTCTTGGTGCTGTCATGGTACCCTGACATTGTTTCTACAAGGCTGGTGGCAGTGAAAACAGTGCTTTAGCAGAAGCCTGAAAGATTGAGACAAAAACCAATCTAAATAAGGAATGGTTTTATCTACAGATGGGAGAGGATGCATGCCATGCATTCTACAAAGTTACCTAGGGTAGCTCAGCACTGTCTCACATTAAACCAGGGCAGAATGTAATTCACTGGCTGCCACAACATCAGCTTGAGTGTGGAAGCTGGAATAGCTGCACATTAACCCTGAGAGCTGCTAACAGTGAACAGCAGTGACTGACATGAAGCAAAAGTCTTTCCTAATGTAAATTAAGGTTGTGTAATGAACATTAAACATGAAGGGGAGGTCCAAGGAAGCAGGTTTAACTCACCTTTAAAGTAAATCAAGAGTCATAAGGTTGCTTTTTATAATCAGTTTCCTCATTCTACTGGAGTACAGCTATTGATTAAAAACAAATGTAAGAAATGAAGTATTTGAGGATGTATTCCAAAGAACTTATTTTTCCCTTGTAGAAATCTGGGCTGGATAGTGTATCTGAATGGCTTCCCCTGACAGAAGACTGGCTACCAGAAGTCATGATCCTGGTCTGTAACAGAGTATCTGAACATGGTATGTTACCTTGAGGCCCAAAACTGACTTGGGATCAGTAAGCTTGCAGCACCATCATTTCTTAAATTATCTGAGTGAGAACAGACTTCTTATTTGATTGAGAAGAGCCAGGTTCTGCTCACAACTAAAAAGTCTTAAGCTAGAAATAATTAAAACTGAATCAGAACTTTACAAGCTTGCTTAAAATGAACTTTGCACATCTCATTCCTGGTATACCAGTGTGCAGGGCAGCATGACTTAACAAGGCAGCCTAGCACTTCTGTGGAAGCACCTACTGCAAAGCCATTTGATTGTGTCATTTTTTAAAAAATTAGAGCTCAATTTGAGGCTTTTGGAATCCAATTGGAAGTGGTTGGAGGACCCAAACATCTGCTACACATTTCCTCCTCGCCATTCTCCACACAATCCAGAACAAGCAAACAACTTGAGGGAATAAAATTTAGCTGGAAGTTCAACTGCTGATGTTAATCTCAGGCATGTGTGCTTAGGAGACATTTTGTTTCCCAATTTTAGGTGTTAACAGACAGAAAGCCCAAGAATGGTGCATCAAGCATGGCTTCGAACTGGTGGAACTGAGCCCTGAGGAACTACCAGATGAAGATGGTAGGATTGCTACTTGTTTTAATTTCTATAATAAAAAGACACCAAAATATCTTCAAAATGATTGCAAGGGGCATTGTGTTGTTGCTGTGCTACATGGTAACAGCATGGAATGCTCCCAGCTGGTGAGGCTCACTCTCAGCTGCATAAAGTCAGGAGGAAAAGGTGGTTATTTCCTCTAAGACATTCCACTGGTCTCCTCCCAAATACAGCTGCTGTTTATGTGGCACCTACATAAATACATCAGATCCCTTCTCAGACACTAATCCTAGGACTGTATTGATACATAAAAAGCATTTGTGCTCCATTTTAAAATCAGTCTCAAAACAGAGCCACATAGATGCCCAAGGGAGGGAAATTCTTTGTCCTTTTGAATAGCACTTAAACTACTGCACATACCAAGAATAGACATTATTCGGTGACACCATGGGCTGAAAAGGGTTTGAGCACTGAATTGCATTCACTGTTACACAGGAAGTAAGCCAGTTTCAGAATCACTTGCCTGGCCACGTAACTACAACTTGAAAAAACCCATAAAACAGAGTCAGAAGTGTGATGTTCTGCTCTTGAAAAGTGACTGTGCACTTCCTGACAGCCTTATCAGCGTCGGCCTTATCTCATCTCCGTGATACACAAGTGTTTACATCTCATTTAAGCTCTGCAGTGGTAAGATAACCAATTCCATTGCCACACAGGAGTGGAATAACGCACTCACATTTTCTCCATTTCAAGTTCAACAAGAGCACGGCTATTTCAGTCTAACGTGTTTTGAAAGGAAACATTAATAACATTAAGTTACTTTCCTGCTGAATAATTGTTGTAAAGAACAAGCTATTTACCACTGCAGTAATAAATACTGGGAATAACAACTCAGGAAGTTAATCTTTGGATTGCTCAGATACATTCTCTGTCCTGGACTTTTAACCTGGCAGTTGGTTCGCTGTGACTCACGCATCAGAGGAAATACATTGTACTGAGTAACATATTTACCCTGTAAACATGCTGTATGAATTACAGAAGATAAAACAGATGTAGTAAACACTGAGGCAGTATCTGTGTAGGAATTAAGGCATTAATGGCAGCTCACTGCAAATGAACAGGAGCTCTTGCTATGACTACACTGTCATGTGTGTACTGAGGACAGGAACTCGTAGCTGAGACTCTCAGTGATGACCAATATAAAACTAAACAGCGCTATCATAGAGGACAGTATTTGATCTAAGGGGTTAGACAGCTTAAAATTAATATCTGGAGGCAGTTTCAGATCCTACACCTGTCCCTGAGTCACCCTAGACAGGTTTGATTTTTAAGCAATCACATTTTCCTCTCCAAAGGGCTTTTCTTCCTAATTGCTTTGTGAGACTTGCACAAACGTGGGAAGCTGACTAAGCTGAGGAAATGGGAAAGCTGACTTTATGTAAAACAGTGTCAGAGCTATTCACTGAGTAAGCTGAAGTCCAAATTATGCCTTCCCCAGTCTTTGAAGTCACCATAAATTTTCAGGATTACTGGAATGCTTTTAATTAGGTGTTATGAAGATAGCTGTAGTACAATCATTGTCTTTTTTATGAAGCAGTGCCCCTTTCCCAATGGTTATCTGAAGTTCTTCACTTTCTGAAGGAAGGAAAAGTAACTCTAGCATCTGTTTATGACATACAGCATTCCAAAAGATCTTGGGGGTAAAAGAGTTCCTTTGGCAGTGGCTTAAAGTCATTTATTATTATTTAAATTCCTGGTGTTATTTATCATATAGGCCCAATGCTAAATACTTAAAACTCCACCTAGAATCGAGATCTTTCTACAACAGGATGAGTGCTCACACTTTATAAAAAGCCCAGACCAAGAGGTGTGGCATCAGTCTAAATTTGTTTGGCCTTTCATGAAGCAAAGGCAAGAAATACATCCTTCCTAATCAGAGAAGTCATTTACTGCCATTCCTGTCTGACAGGACAGACATTCAGCCACGCTTCACCTTATGCTCAAGCACGTAATGGTTTTTGGTCTTACTCTTAGGACTCAGATGTCTTCCTGTTTTTATTTAGATGACTTCCCCGAGTCCACAGGAGTGAAACGAATTGTGCAGGCCTTGAATGCCAACGTTTGGTCAAATGTGGTCATGAAGAATGGTATGTAATACACAACCCTCCCTGCATGAATTCTGAAGGCTGTGAACCCCAGAGGGCTCAGTATTTTTAGCAGAGCTTTAAATGAAGCACCTAAATGGCACCACATCATTACACAGGGAACTAAAGTGCTCTTCCCATATTTACATGAACAGGAGGCTGCTCAGTTACCATCTTTATTGTCCCTGTGTACACAGAGAAACTTGGAGGCAGTGGTGAAGATGTAACCCCATTTCAGTATTTGTTTCCTCTAGATTTGCTCTCAAATGTCTGTTGAAGGATTTAAACACATGAAGAGCACTGCAGGAAGGTCTGTTTTCCCTACAGAAAACCCCACTGCAATAAACTGCAGAACTTTGTGAAAATAGCACAGCAGCCAGACAGCCTTACTTCCTGTTATAAGGCAGGGCCACAGTTTTGGAAAAATCACTTAAGGATTGATGTATTAGGAAAGGAAATGCTGTGGCTAGCCCAGTTTTAATATAAGCATAGATACTTCTATTTTCTTGAAAGCTTTCTATTACCTCTCTAATTATACAATCTGTAGCAGGAAATGTAGGAAGATGAAACTCTTTTGCAGTGCTTGGCCTTATACTTTTTCTTTCAAACTCATCTCACTGCCACCCTTCTGAGGTCTGCCTGCTCCCTTGGGTACAGTTTTCCACTGCTGTGGTTTCTTCCTTCCTATATCTTTCAACAGTGCGATGATTTTGAGTGCTGAGAGGTTTTCATTAGTTCTTATAACTGCAAGACAGTTACTGGGATTCAGAGCAACTAAGAGCTGCTAAACTTGGGCCTCCTCAGTATTTCTCATTTTATGAGAAAATGAGGCTAAGATTGGTTCCAGTTTAATAGAACTGTTGTAGAGAGGCATTCATTTGAGATGGCATGAAGTTAGTCTAGTTAGTACAAGAATGGATTTCTTCAGATTCAACAGATGTCACGTTACAGAAGAGCAGAATTTAGTCACACGTTGAGGGAAATTCCTGCCCATCAGTGGTGCCTTCTGTAAAGGCTGAGCTGTGAAAATCCAGAGCTTTTATCTCCACTGTACAGAAAGCACACAGTGCTGATCTATGGCACTGCAAACCCCTCAGGAAGTGAGCTAAATTTGGAAGCTGTTGCAACCAATCTGTGATTTCAAAGGGAAATGATTGAGCTCATTTTTGCTCAAAATAAAACTTTTTACAACCTGTAATATATCTTTTGTTTGCAGCTTCCTCCTGCTCCTGGAAGCTGGCCACTATGTAAATAAGAGCTCAGCTTTTCTGCTGAGTTACCTCTAACTGCTCTCTATTTAGAATCGTGCTTCACCCTAAATCTTTTCATACAAAACTGAAGATATTTTTATTAGCAACGGTTTGTTAGCACTGTTGAATGTCACCATCCAGAAAGCCAACCTTACAGCATTGCCTTCCTTGAGGTGCTTCTGTGAGACTTCAATAGGCTGAACAGAAGTGACTTCTTTAAACTATGAACATTAAAGCCATATCATTTTAAAGCAGGCTACCTAAACCTGCACACAGTTTTCCCAAAGTTGTGAAGCTGTGTGTGGCTGCACACTTACTAAGAAAGGTCTCGACCTTCTCAGGTTTTCTCTCCCCATTAAGTATGTTCTTGCTTATTCTGATTCATAAGGCATTAATTACAATTAACTGTAAACACTTTTGCATCATGTAATAAATAGTACATACTTGGTGGGTGCAAAAAGCAGTACGGTCTCTACTAAAACAAAAACCAGCAGCCTTACCTGAAAGGCTCTGAAGACTGTTTGCTTTTTGGTGGGTATGCAGTCATCTGTTCTCCAGTTCCTGGAGCTCTCTTCCACCTAAGAAGAAGGTCACTTCCTTGTGCAGAAGAACATAAGCATCTCTTCAATTCACAGTTCTCCCACTCCTAAAACCCAAAAGCTACTGTGCTGTTCTATCCTTAGTTGTTCCTACAACAGGAAATCTGGTTGACTACAGCAAAAGGAACAGAAACAATTTACTGTCTTCTGAGAGGGGTTGCTTGGCTGCTTTCCTGCTTAAATACATGCTGCAGTGATCCCAAGTGAAGCTACTTACCCAGGGAGGGGCCAGTCATTAGCCTGGTGTCCTTCACAAAGAATTAGCCTGGTTCAGTGGGGCCATGTGAACTTAATTGCTTAAACAATTCTGGAGTTTCAATCTTTTAATTCTGTTTTTTTGTGTCAGTCATGGTAGCTTCAGACAGGCTATGGAAGAATGTTAGATAAGGACAGAGGAAAACGTTTTGCTGCAAAAGAAGCAGTGTGGATTTCTGAGCCCTGCTCAGAGCACAGCTCAATGGGGCTTTGCCATATTGATGGCACCTGTGAACCCACATAGCCTGCATCAGAACGGAGCCATCCACTATTAGAATAATTTGAGTGAGATCATTTTTGGCTTTGATTCTGTAAGAACGCTCTGTAAGACGTCACCCGCTTCCTGAACGGCACCCAGAAGTTGAAATAACTTCTACATCCATTAAAAGAAGTTTATGGGAAGGTTTCTTTCAAGGGTGTGACTGGAACCAAGAGCTGTGCCTGCTACCTCCCTAACCACAGATCCAGAAACCAACAGCTGCGCTCTGCAGATCCTTTGTAGATGCTGGTATTTTTCAGTTAGACAATTCTGTAGTTGCACAGGCTGAGGTTACCTGTGGCTGTGGTGGGGGTGGACTGCAGTCACTTACCTGGATGGGATGAAGTCAAATTGTAGATAGGAGCGGGGTACGTGATTAGGTCACCAAATCCACCCCTCTGCCAATGTGGGAATGCTCTCTCCCAAGCACATTCTGGGCTGCAGAGGCCAATCTGACTTCAGATGACTCAGAAATTGGCTGAAGATCGATCTTACTTTTTCCTATAAGACAACTCTTTGCTCAGCTTGCTGAAACTTTGGGAAGCTGCTTTGTTTAGGGTTGCAGATCCCAACCTTTTATCACTCAATTGCCTGTTAATGGAGCTGGCAGACTTTCGGGCTTTCATATTTCTTGCAACTGAACGTTTTAAGGCGATTCGTTCGGCTAGACTGATTCACTTCTCCCCAAACCTCTGGCAAGTGATCTGTAAGGGCAGTAAAGCTGTACAGCACGGCGCCAATTGAAACAAATACCTGCAGGGAGGGGAGGGGGGCAGGGGGGAGAGGAGGGCTGGCACAGGACACGTGTTAGCCAAAGTGCACAGCGTAGATTATTGAGCAGGAAATGAGGTCTCAGTAATTCTCCAACTGAGACGTGTTTACACGTATTCTCGACAGCTGATGGCTTCAGTTACACATTCAGCTCTTTAAGATTCTGTGTAAATGGAAAGAAAATTTGGCCCGCGTCTAAAAATTACATCATCTCAACATTTGAATCTAGAGCTTAGTCATTACTGTAATATTAATTCAGAGCACATTAAAAAAAAAGAAGTAACACTGATCTTTCTTCTGGCACAGGCCATTGCTTGCTGGCTGTTTGCAGTGCAATAACTTGACGCTGTTTCTTTTTTAGTTGACTAAAATGCTGATATTTTCAGGACAATCTCCTGAGCCCTGATGTAACTGCAGATATTTGCTGTTCGAGGCAAAGCCAGAAGAAAACACAGCTTAGCAAAACCCACTAACTACACATATTGCACGTACACCTATTGCATGTACACCCATTGCACCTCCACCTATTGCACGTCCATTTTTGTTTGAAGGTAACGTTCTAGAAATAGAGATTAATTTAGAAATGCTGTGCTGTATTGGTGTGTCTTCCCTAAGAAATTGCCTGTGTCAGTTGCAGCTGTTTGCTGTAGTGTTCCATCTTCTGTCACACTAACAGCTGTGTTGTTTCCAGACAGGACCCAGGGCTTTGGCCTCCTCAGCACGTTAGCAGGTGCGAACTGCAGCCTTGGGTCAGAAGAGAACCAAGATACAGAAGTAAACAGTAATTCCTATTTCTTGTTCTTTGCTCGTTCTGTGTCCCACGTGGCTCTCCCCTGTGTCACACTGGGCGTAGTGCTGGGGGGGTCTTTGATCCTTTTCTCCTCTCTCAAAAGCTACTGCACAAGCTGTCAGAATGGGTTTTCAGGGAAGTCTCTGATGGCTGAAAATTCATTCACTATTGTTCTTGAAAGCCGTCCTGAGAGCTGTCCCAGGAGCTGCCACCTCACAGCTGGGGGCTCCCTGTCCTTCAGGACATCCCCCCACGTTGATGGGATGCCTGGTGCTGTGGTTTCTCCTTCAAATCCAAGAACAGTGTCTTGTGCAGAAAATATCACTTGTGAGTTTTGTTAAAAAAGCAAATGAACCTATCCTAGCCAACAGCTGTGCCTGGCATTGCAGAAGTGCCTTTTCATCATACGAGTGGTGCAGGTTTTGCAGTAACAGTTTATGATAAAGAGTAAGATGTTAGTGTTAGAAAAAGGAAGCACTTGATCTGCTGCTGATGCTTTGCGGGGTGCATCACTGGATACTGTTAATATCTTTTTGTTTCCTGACAGTCCAATCCAGCAGCAGCAGACAAAGAACCCCATTTAGACAACAGAGAGGATGCAGCTAGCACAAACGACCCACAGATGGACAGTGCTGTAGGTAAGCTTGTTCTCTGCTTGGTGGACGTGCTGGAGCAGGCACCTCAGGCTGGAACAGATCCTGAAAGCTTTCTCTCAGTGAAAAGACAGAGCCAGGAGAGGCCAATTGTGCAGCATCAGGGGTTCTCTGTGAGTGAGGGCCCAACTTCAGAAAAGATGGGGCCCCTGCAGGTAAGACCTTCCAGCAGTGCTGCCAGTTGAAAAGGTTCAGGTCTGCTTTTCTCAAGTCTCCTCACCGGTGTATTGTTTATATTCGGAAACACATTTATAAGAACAAATCTTTAAGCTTTCTGGGTGAGAGAAAAATCATTACAGTGTGACTCCCCCACAGCCTCGTTCAGCAGGGTGAGCGCTGGGAGCTGCAGGTGTTCTGAACTTGAGGGCTTTGGATAATTGCAGCATGCCAGGAGGTGGGATTTCATATCACAGGTTGTGTGGGGAGGTCGTCCAAAGGTTGGAGGTTGTTAGTTGGGATCTAAACAGTGTCATTACTCTTTAATTGAGTCCAGGGCTGTTCCTGAACAGATGATTTTATAATAAGAAGTCCTAAGGGAACTAAAAATGAACTTAAATGAACACAAAAAACATTATTGCATTGTAATGTAACAAAATTCATCACCACTGTAATGGTACCATCAGTTGTCTATCTGAACCATCAGTAAATTAAATGGGAGGGCAACATGTTGAGAAGGTACTGTTTTTAACCTGAAGATTGCTACTAAGGCTATTATGCCTGCTGACAACAAAGCAACTTACCTGAACCAAATCTGTGTGCATTTGTTTTAGATCCTGTGTTAGATACAGATATTCAGGAGCTGGCCAGCCTGACCACGAGGGACGGCGACCTGGAGAACTTTGAGAGGCTGTTCTCAAAGTTGAAAGAAATGAAAGGTACTGAGCTGTGTCACTCAGTATTGCTCAAAGGCCTGGAACCCAACGTGGCTGTTGGGAAATTCTGTGATTCTGTGATTCTCTGAAAGTTGTACCAATTCTTATTCTTCTGCCTGAGGTTCTGTACAGGTGATCTTTTCACTAACTTGGCCTTCGTCTTAATAATGCTCTTGAAAGAAGTAGATGCAGCTCAGCTGATTGCTGTCGTGTTGTTTTAGTCCACCATGGATTAACATTACAGTTTTCTGTACACAAACCTATAACCAGACTTTTTTTTTAAGCTCTGCAACAGTGTGCCAGTCTTGCAGCTTTGAAGGCACAAATGTTTGAAATGAAGTTCACTGTGCTCAGAAGCACTGGCTTTCTGTGGGAATTACAAGAGCACTTTGTAAATAAGCTTCCTTTTTATGATCCTAAGCAAGTTTCTTGCTAGTCCCCTGAAAACAGCTGCAGGAGGTTATCTGTCTCCCTTTGTGCTCCTGAGTCACGTTCAACCTGAGTCATGTTCTCTTCCACAGAAAAGGCTGCAACGTTGCCCCACGAACAAAGGAAACTGCATGCAGAGAAGGTGAGGTTTTGGAATCAGCATCAAAATCATTAAAAATATGGTTTTCCTTTCTGAGCTGCAGTTCCCTCTCTTGTAGTATGGTTCACATCTGAAGGACAGTGAGAACAAACTGCTCAGTCCTGAGAAGACTGACTCAGATCTCCCGAGAACTGAATAAAAAACCCAGAATCCAGAACTCCAGAGGAGGCTTTGCCTTCCAGAATTTCTGAAATGAAGGCCCTGTGATCACTGGGTGGGAGCCAGCGCTCACTGAAGTCAGTAGACAAGCTTTGATCTCAAGGAAGATTTAATTACGATTTAATTAGCCCAAGTTTTCTGTCACTTAGGCCTCCAACAAATTCTAGAAGTGTCTGAATTATTGCACCACGGTGTGACTGAAATTTATGAACCTCAGAGAGGATTATCATGGAGGCCAGGAACATTGCCAGGCTGAGCTGCAGCTCAGTTTCATTATTCGCATGGTGAACAGGAGGGGAATGATTCTCATTTTTGCATTCTTTTTGTTCCTATTAGGTGGCCAAAGCGTTCTGGATGGCAATTGGAGGAGACAGAGATGAAATTGAAGGTCTCTCCTCGGACGAAGAAAACTGAGGTCTTCGGCAGCTGTAAGCAAACAGTGATCCTAAGAGTGATCTTTTCCTGCAGTGAGTGTTAATTGCAGAAAGCCCCATTTAGCTTTAGCTGCTCTCTTTGGTTAAAGGATTCACCATATCGTTGTAATGAGTAACACATCCACAACACCTTATGGTTAGAGTGGTTTTGTCTGACTGTTTGTTCTCCCTCAGAGAGTTTTGGATGACGACGTATGCATTTAGAGGAAATAATAGGTTAGTTTACATTTTTCAAATTAACATTTTTATAGTTTCCTCTTTTGAGTTTAAACAAACAATTTTACTACCAGTTACCCTTCTACATATGGCTGTTGGTTGTTAAACAACTACTTAATTCTAAACATTTAGATGTAGGTCTGTTTGATGTTTTTGTGTAGCTTTATAGCTGACTTACAAAACAAACCAGATTTCTATGAGGCATGAAGAGAAACTCGGTGTGCTGTACCCTATTGGAGATGCTGCGCCGGGGCTGCAGGGTTAATCCTGCTGAGTGCCAGAGCCATTAAAAATGGCCCATAGGCTTCGATTTCTGTTTGTGCTTGTAAGCACGTGGTCCTTCCCTAAGAACTCCGGAGCTGTGCCACATTCCCCAGGTTTCCATGAGAAAGGAGATTTGGGATTAAACGCAAGACAGGCTTCTGCTGCTGGTCCAGGCATGAATTTCCCCGCTCAAACCTTCTGCAGTGCATTGCCTCCAACAGGGAGAACGCACAGACCTTCACGTGGTGAATTCTCACCTAAACATTTCAAACCTCCCCCACTCACCCAGTGCATTTATTACAGACTTCTGCTCCTGTATGTTAATTAGAACATACCAGAGTACGGGTCCCAAATGGCTGCTTTGTGGTACCAAGGGTTAGAAAAATTCCTTCATCCTCAGCGTTAGGATGTTGCCACCTTCTGCACAGTCACAGGGTTTCTGGAGAACACAGGCACGCACAGCACTGAACAGGAAGGCACGGTGTGGGGAGATGAGGAAAGGTAAATTGCATCCCTCCTGTTGTGCTGCAGGACCGCTCCTGTGGCTGCATGGGGGGGGACTGTGCTCCCAGGAGTGTTTCCTTCCCTCTATGTGAAGGGCAGTGTGAAACAGCCTTACCTTGAAGTTAGCTTTTCTAATGTCAGTAAATTTAGTGAGGCCTAGGCAGTGGCTTTCCATAGGATACCTGACAGCTTTGAATTCCAAAGGCACTTTCACAGCGGTTCTTGACATTCACTGCCTGTGCTTTTAAGATTAAGCAGAGCTAAGACAATAGGCTTCTTTGAAGACTGTAAATTGGTGCCTCGTGAGTAGTTTGAATAGCATTTCTCACATCAAGATGGAGCAGGAGCTCCACCACAGCAAAATACATTTTAAAGAAGCAACATTCCTATTGCAGGGACACCCATACAGGCACTGAAGGGACCTCACCCAGCAGGGCTGCTCCTTCTGCCCTGAGCAGCACCCAGCAGCACCCAGGCCGTGCTGTGACTCTGCCCTCTCCTCCCATTCGCTCCTGTTTTCTTTCCTCTCAATGCAGAGAGCTGCAGTAAGGAAGTGAAGGTTGTTCCTTCCAAGTAGGGAATGGTTTTCTGTTTGCTTCGTGGTAGGTGGGGGTGGTTGTTTTTTTCCCCTATTTGTTGTGCAATAGAGATGCATGGCAGAAGTGCAGAGTAAATTAATTGAAGGCAGTGAAGGACATAATGCACTTGGATGCTTCATAAAAACAATTTTTATACCTGTGTTTATAGTTTATTTAAGCTGAATAGAATGACAGAAGTTTAGATTCTTTTCCTGTTCACGGGATAGGAGCAGATAACTGCCTTACCCCTGCAGTCAGGTACCAGACTGGGTGCACACAGCCTGCCACCATACGTGTGACAGACAGCAAGGAGAGATGTGTGAAAGCACAGAGCACACGTGGACAGCACGAGCAGGGTTTAAGCAGAGCAGTGGTGCAGTGTGGGGAGGTGTCCATATTGCTGCTAAGACTGGAGGAAATTTGTACACGTTTTCATGCACATCTTACGTACTACAATGGAAATGTGACTTGTTAGCAGGTACATTCCATGCTTCAAGAAAGCATTACTCATCAAGGTAGGAAGTGTGGCTGAGAGATACTGGAATGGTCTTTAAAGATTCTTTGTACTGCATTTTTCAATCCAAATTTACTTTGCTGGTGACTTAGGTGTTTTTTATTTCCTGGAGAGCCTTCTTTCCTTTTGGCTGCATTTCTTTACACAACAGCTGTTACTAAAATGAATAAAAGGGGCATTGGTGGAATTGCAAACCTGAAAGTTGTGGTCTTAGTTGCTCTTTGTGTTCTGCAGCACTGTTTAGCAACAAAAGAATTCCTACCTTGGCTTTACATCCTTGTGTCTGTGTAGGATGCTCCCAGTCACAGCAGTGAGGCCCTGCTGGATGAGCTGGGCTGCTCACCTCCATGCAGTTTTGATACTTGTTTTTTTTTTTGGCTGAGAATTTGAGGTTTCATTTACTATCAGACTTTTATTTTGCTTCAGCTTCCCAATATCAGTGCAGTCTTTGATTCTGAACCCTGTGATATATTCAGGTGACAGCAGAACTCACGGCTCAGCACTGCTTTACTACCTCGCATTTTGGCAACCCTCACATAAAACCTGGACAAAACCCTTTTATTACCACACTGTTGGAAATCAGAGTGGAAAAAGTATTCTCGTAAATCCTCTGTTAGGAAAAACAACAAAAATAATCTGAATTTCAGTGAAACCCGAGGAGGAACGTTAGGAGTTCACAGACTTCGATCACAGCTCCGTTAGTGATGCTATTTGGAGAATGCCCTCCCTGAGGCCAGCTGAATGCCAGCACATACAGAGCCTTTGTTTCCAGCACAGCACGTGGCATCACTACCTGGCTTCTGCTGAAATTCCTGCTTCAGTGCTGAGCACAGCACAGACACTGCTGGGTAATGAGAGCAGCAGCCACATCCACGACACCCCACAGCTGAGCAGGGGGATGTGAAGGGCTCTGCCACAGGTACAGCTCAGCTGCTGCTTCAGCTCTGACTACAGCAATTGCTAAAGGTGCTGTCCTTGAGTGGCAAGGAGAGAACACAGACCTCTAAGAGCAAGGAGCAACAGCCAGAAATACATCTTGGGAGATGAAGGTAGGAAGGCTTTTCATGTAGGAGCACAGTGGAGCCATGCAGCAGCCCGTCCAGGGAGGAAAGTGGAGGAATCAGTCCTTTGAAATCTTTTTCAGGGTCTGTCTGGACAAAATCCCAGCTGACTTCACCTCGTGCTGCAGCAGGCCTGGGCCAAACACGAGGCTGCCCAGCCTCCAGCACAGCCCCAGGTTGGCACCCCGAGCAAAGGGTGGCACGCAGCCACGTCTGACTGCTCCAGCAATTCAGCAACTGAGCCTTTCGGCCGCGCTGTCCTGCTGCTACTCACCTTCGGAACCCGTCAGTTAAAATAACTGATTGCATTTTTTAAGAGATGCTACTTCTGGCTTCATATTTGTTCACACTGCGCAAAGCATGATGTCCTTACCTGTAACAGATCTTTCATGCCTTGCTGGAAGTGTTGTGCACCTGCAGGCTCTGCTGGTGCTGCAGTACCTGCGGTTGGAAAACTCCAAATGCTTTCAGTTTGTGTCCTTAAAACTCATCTTACACCATCAGTGTTCGCTCACGAGCCTTTGTTTTCAAATCAAAGTTTATTAAAATGTCAAAAATAGAACTTACAGTTTCACATATGAAATAAGAGGGCATACATAGTACAGGCCTGTAGTAACAAAATAGGCGAATAAGGCTCAACAAGCTCAAGCATGTAGGTGACACCACCGCTCGTTAACGTACAATCTCAGGTTAAGAAAACCTAAACACTACTGCATACATGCTCATACATATCTATCAGAGGGGAACAGTTCCATCAAGAGCGAGGGAAGTAGGCTGCCTCCATGGAGAGAGGACCAGATGCACCTCAGCAGCAGCGGTGCAGACTCCTCGGATCCACGTACCGGAGGAAACATGAGGATGAACCAAAGCATTTACAGAACGGTATGCTGTTTTCTTTTTGAAGCCTCATAAACCTGAAAAGACTGAAGAACACAACTGAAGGGCCCACCTGGGAACCTGACTCACTGCTCAAAATTAAAACAACAGCTCAGGTACAGACTCCTGCTGGAGGTGTCCTCGTTTTGCTTTCTTTGCCAGTGCTTGTTGCTCAGCTCTGAGATGCATCTCTTGTTCTCACATCAGTAACTGCCTGAGCAGCAGCCACCAGAAGGGGTCACAGGAAAGATTTAACGCTCAGAATACTGAATTGCCCCTTCTGTTAAAAGTTATGCATTGGATTCATCTGAATATTCAAGAAAAACAACATAAACACAAGCATGTACATAACAAAAAACATATACTGAATTTCTTAACCATATCGCCCCATCCGCTACGATACAGCAACTAATTATTTCTCCTCCTAGCTTCCCAGCTTATTTCTGATATCCCACCCCTTCTACCTATCCGGTGCCCTGGAGAACTAGGAAGGCTCACAGATGCTTTGTGACAGGGCTGAAGTCCCTCTCTGCGCTGTTCTTCTCGCTCCCTGTGCTTTTTCTCCTTAGCAGGCAGCACGAGTTGTGGATGCTGCCACCTGCTCCTCAAGCTGGAGTCCTGAATATTCTTCAACCTGTTAAGTTGTACACGGTTCAAAGTGTGCCATCCTGCAGGGGAAGGGAAACAGAGTTGCTTCCCACTGTCTGAAAGGCCACCTGCAGCCATTCTGTACTGGAGCTTTCAGGAAATTGGATGAATCAGATTTCTCCATCCTTGTGCACCAAATGGAGAGCACTGGATTACTTCTGAGACAAGCTTAACGCAACCTACACACTGCAACTCAGTTCAATACATTAATAACTAAAAAAAACCCTCCACAGTCACATAAAACCACAGGGCCATCAGTGTCATCTGCCAGCAGTCAGGCCCTTGTGTACAGCTACACCAAGCAAAAAGATATTGACTCTGCTAGTAAGGAGAATGCATGGAATGCTGGTGAAACAAGCCAAGACTACCATCAGCGAGGAGTGCCATCTCACTAGGGCAGGCTGCTGGCATACAGCCATGCTACATATCAAAGCTACCTTCAGAAAGTTTTAGAAAAGAATGCAAAAGCAACACTAAGCCAATGGTGTTGCACCAATGCCACCATGCAGCCCCTTCCCTTCTGTGCTGGGATCCAGAGCTCATCTCAGTTCGCTTTCGCCCATCCAACTCACTGCTGCTGTGACAGAGAGGGATCACAGCCCTTCCTCGCCTGCTGCGTGGCGCAGGGCTTCCATTTGGCTTTCTAAGGTCACTGGAAGCCATAAGGCTTTTATGCATTAGTGAGGAGGCAAACAAAGGGGAGGAGAGGAGGGCATTACCCCTTTAAAGAAGATAATCTCCCTGTTTTATCTAATTGCATCACTAGACCAGCTTCATGCTTTCTATTGGAAGTCATTTACTTAAGGGATGACAGGGTGGGATTAACCAAAGTTTTTATGCATCATCCAAATCCTGTTTCTAAAGAGGCATCTATTAACAGCAGTCAGCAACTCGCTGTCCTTCATCAAATGAAACACAGAGGGAATCCAGGTCCAATTCTTGGTTTGGCTGAGGCGATTCCATGCAGACCCTGTACAAAAGCAGGGTTTACTCCAGCTTGTGCCCCAGGTCAGGCTGGGTGCTGCACACACCATGGGAACAAGCTGCCTGGCACCTGAATTTAAGGTGCCATTTTGGTAGCTGGTGCACAAGACACAACAGAGCCCAGCTTTTTGATGATTATGTAGATAGAGGCAAACGTGACTTAAAGGGATGAGTAGGAAACCTGGGAGAGTTTTACAGAGCAGATTCTCTCCTCTCACTACAACAGGAAGTCAAATATTTCCACAGAAGTCTGAATAAATTACTGCTTGCAACTGTTGGAAAGCTGTACCTGAAAGCACGTGCTTCATCAGCCCACAGACATCCCTAGCTAAGCAGCTCAAAAACACTACTTTACACAGATGCTCTTATTGCACAAGTCCATGCAATCAGAGATTTAACTAAAATCAGACACAGAGCAAAAATGAAAAGTTAAAAAAAAGTCCTAGAAAACCTCCAGTGCTATGATACAAGCCATGCTGCACAGGGAAAGCTCACCCAAAATCCTGCTGTCTGTCCCCCAGCTCATCCTCTGGGTTCAGAAACAAAACTCTCCTCCGGAGCGTCCCTTTGTCTGCCTGGTGAAGCACACCTCTGCTCTGCCTCCACCTCGGGTGCTGCTGATGCCTCGGGTCCAAGCCAGGCG